TTTGCCTCCAAAGTACTGGGATTAAAGGTGTGTGCCACCATCATCTGGCTCTTACTTAGGAAGTAAATGGAGTAAATGCTTGATAGAATTTATCAAGGGGTAGTTTTATTTAGAGAAAGTTTTTTAAAAAAAATAAATAATTTACTAGACAAGCCAGTTCAGATGATTTTTTTCTTGAAGAAACATTATTGGTAGTTGGTGTATTTCATTCCATATAGGTTGTTGACTTTATCGTCATAAAGTTCCTAATGACCATCATTATCTTTTTAAGTCTGGAATGTATAGGGAGGTTACTTACTTCTTACATTCTTGCTTGTGTTTTGTCTCCCGCCCCCCTCCCCGCCACTGCCTGCAATCAGTCTTGTTAGAATCTCATCAGATTGGATTATTTTTAAACAATCTTTATGCCAAATAAATTTTTTCTTCAGACTTATGTCTGTTTCAAAAATGAGATGGGTATGGAAATGCCTGAATTTCGTAAGCTCATCAAGATTGCCATTCAAGTAAGTTTAAAGCCAACATTGTAGACGTTGTTCAGTATGCAAAATCCCTGGCATCGTAAGGTCTCTGAATCAGGAGTTGGAGAGATGGCACAGTGCTTAGAGCACTGGCTGCTCTTACAGAGGACCTGGTTTGGTTCCCAACATCCACATAGTCGCTCAGAACTGTCTGTAACTCCAGTTCCAGGGGTTCTGATGGTCTGGAATTTATACGCTTTTCCAGTGAGAAGTCACTCTGTACACTTAGGGACTAATAAAAGAAAAAGCTCTTTAATTTAGCTCACATCTGGCTCTGGGTACAACCCAAAAAGAAAATGGCCTTGATTAGAAGATTTTGCAAACTTTTATATACACCATAGGTTAAGCATTTCATATAAACTGTCATTCTTAAATCTCTTTCAGTATCCAACCGCAGGTCAGGTTACACTTTGAACAATTTAAACAGAGACAGGAGACTACAAGTCTCCTTAGGCTCTTAGGCAGATGGGAGATTTACACAGCAAAGATGTTGCATATTGCCTGAATTATTTTAAGTACACCTGTGTCATCCTTTTTCAAATAGTTCTTACCAAAGGTCTTCTTGCCCATCTGGCAGAATTATGCTTTTCTCAAGAGTAGGACTGGGGGCTTTATGATAGACCAGGACTTTCCTGTTGGTTGTGACATTGCACTGTACCCTCGCTGACTGTTGGAGGCATGTTCTTTCATATAGGGATGGGCATAATGGCTGACTATAAGTCAGCATTGTCTCAATTGTTCTAGGAATGGAGTCTAATAACTAGTCAGTCTTTGTAAGCAAACATTTATGTCCTAGCATCCTAAACTTCGCTTATCTCTAACATTCCTGGTTAGCAGACTACTTATTTGGGGGATATTTTGGAGGCAGTGGCTCCCTTTGCTAAATTCTACTTTGTGTGACTTATTGTGTCCTAAGAAAATCTATTAGTAAGTCTTTTACAACATCAGTTCTATTTTTTCTTCTTCTTTATTATTTAAAACAATTTTTAAATTTAAATATATTTGATCATATTCTTCCCCTCCCCCAAGTCCTTCCAGATCCTCTCTTCCTTCCTGCATACCCACTTTTAAGTTCTTTCTCAAAAAACAAACAAAATCCCAAAACAACCTCAAGACCCCCCAATACCAAGAAATCAAAATAACACCCTCCCCCAAAACCCTACCAAACTGTAACCAAATAAAAGTACACATACACACACAAAATGTGGAGTCCATTATATTTTGTTCAACTACTCCTCAACATGAGGCCTGTCCTGGACTGTGATATACCCAGTGACACTGTGTTGGACAAAACTGATTTTCCTTCTTCCAACAGGTATGTGACATCCATCCATCCATCCATCCATCCATCCATCCATCCATCCATCCATCCATCCATCTATCCATCCAGAACTATTCTATTTTCCTTTTTCTAATGAGAGCTATCTGGTCCCTCTAAACAAGTGGTTCTCAATGTGTGGGTCCTGACCCTTTTGAGGATAAATGACCCTTTTACAGGAGTCGCATATCAGATATCCTGCATATCAGATATTTACATTATGCTTCATATTATGTTATGAAGTATCAACAAAAATAATTTTATGGTTAAGGTCACCACAACATGAGGAACTGTGTTAAAGGGTTGCAACATTAGGAAGGTTGAGGACCCTTTTTCTATACTCTCTATGGTTCTATGGATTGTAGCTTAGTTATCATTGACTTAACAGCTAATATCCACATAAAAACGACACATACCATATTCATCTTTTTGGATCTGGGTTACCTCTCTCAGGATAATTTTTTCTAGTTCCATCCTTTTGCCTGCAAATTTGATGATATCATTGGTTTTTTTGTTTGTTTGTTTGTTTTTTCGAGACAAGGTTTTCCTGTGTAGCTTTGCACCTTTCCTGGAACTTACTTGGTAGCCCAGACTGGCCTCAAACTCACAGAGATCCACCTGGCTCTGCCTCCTGAATGCTGGGATTAAAGGTGTGTGCCACCACCGCCTGGCGATATCATTGTTTTAACAACTGAGTAATACTTTATTGTGTAAATATACCACATTTTCTTTATTAATTCTTCTGTTGAGGAACATGTAGGTTGTTTCTAAATTCTGGCTACTATGAAACTTCAGGTTTTTTCTATGTCACTGATATCCTCTTCTGGCCTCTGAAGGCACTACCCATGCATGGCACACATACATACATATAGAGAAAACATTTACACAAAATAAAAATTAAAATATAACTGAATTTTTAAAAAAAAATAGTAAAATCAGGCCAATTAAGTAACTCAAGAAAATAACTCAAGAAAAATCCTGGTGAAAAGAACAGAGTAAAGAATGGTTAAGGGCAGTGGTGGCGCATGTCTTTAATCCCAGCACTCGGGAGGCAGAGGCAGGTGGATCTCGGTGAGTTAGAGGCCAGCCTGATCTACAGAGCAAGATCCAGGACAGGCAGCAAAACTACACAGAGAAACCCTGTCTCGAAAAACCAAAAAAAAAAAAAAAAAAAAAGAAAAGAAAAGAAAAAGAAAGGTTAAGCCCTTTACCAATAGGGTTAATCCGTAGCAACTGTTAGAATGACCAGAGAAAGGAGTTAAAATGATAAAAGCCTTTTTAAATGAAAAGATAATCTTTAAAAAGGAAGATGTAGGTGATAGGAAGTATTTGAGTCCTCATGGACAAAATTTAAAACATGCATATTTTAAATACATATGTCAACTTTTAAGGTTTTTTTTTTTTTTCTTTTGGTTTTTTGAGACAGGGTTTCTCTGTGTAGCTTATGTAGAAGCAAGTATGCAGGAGAAGTAATGTGCAAGGGTCCCTTTTGGTCTGCATTCCCTGAGCCTAAACCTGCTACTACACTTCAGAGATACTGTCCTGGCCAGTCCAGCTAGTCCTGGACCTGTCACAGAAGTACTACTTCATCAAGATGTCATGCCTCTGCCCTTTGTTTCCAGGACTTGTGAAGCGGCGCCAAGCACTTGCCAGTACTGCTTTGCATTTTTCTTACTTTTATGACCTTCCTCCTACACATTGTGAAAGCAGAACCTAGCAAAAAGCTAAGTGGGAAAGGAATCTAGAAAATGGGATGTGTTCACTTAACAGCCCCATGATAAACGTAGCAAAGCACAGTAGGACAGAATTAAGGCCTGTGACAGCCCATTTCACATTGTGTTTGGACATAGGGCATACATATTTCTAGTTTCAAAGGTTAAGTTCCATGTTTGTAGTTCTTAATTTTAGAATGTATCGGAAGCACTTTTTCATTATTAAATCTGAATAGTCTTGCAAATGAAGTAGTAAAGTCAGCATGACAAATGTCTAACTGCATACAATTCTTTCCCTAATGGACATGCCCAAAATAAACAGAGATCAACTCCCTTCCCCCATGGTAAGCAGTGGCTAGGAATACTGATGTTATTGTTCTACTTAAGATGTTGAAATATTATTGGCTAGAAAGTAGAGCTGGGAATATTGACAAGGTTTATTGCTTTCTTAACCTCCTCTGTTTACACATACGCTTATTACTATTCTATATATCTAAGGGATAAAATGCATTAAACTAGTAAGCCTGAATATATAGCCTTCTTAGAGGAAATACATTTTTCTAGGAAACATTTTTTCCATTAAACATTATCAATCATGCCATTTAGTTCACAACTATTTAAATTTGTCCTAGGAATATAGTCTGAAATTTGCTTGTGTGGCTTAGAGAACATGTGTTTGGCTACTTCTATATCCATTAATATATTTATAAATGGTTGTACTTTCTGTACTTGAAATTTGTGTTCACTCACAACTCAGTAACAGGTTGCCGTCACCAGTTCACTGAGAGTTAGCTACTCTTCCATTAACACAGTTAGCTGAACATACTGATGTACCACAGATAAGGAACAGAATTCTCCTCTGTATACACAGGGTGCTTTTTAGGCAAATCAGCTTCAAGGCGGAAATAGTGCCCAGCATCCATAATATTTCTGACCTCATTTCTTTCCTGTATTCAAAAATCTGAAATTTCCTGTATTGTGACATGGAGAGAGTTGATAGGCTTTCTTCATATGTGTAATAATTAGTAGTAGAAAAGGAAAGAGAAGTTATCCAAGAGACCACATAGTTCAGTCAGTCAATTAAAAGTCATGGAGACATTAGCTAATTCTGCTCTGTAGGGTAAGTCAGGGCTGTGGAGCTTGTTTGATACTGGGCACCTCTGACTCTAGAGAGAGCATGTAAGCAGACACAACAGGAAAGGGGTTCCTGTCATCAAACTCGTGTCTGTTGGACCCTTCTTGTAAATTGAAGAACTGCTAGTTAAGCTTTGTCCATCCAGACAGAATGGAAAGTAATCTGTCCAGTCTCTCCTTCTTACTCTGCTGCTTTTATTGTTGTTCTTGTCATCAGAAATGTCTCGTCTCTTATAAAATTGTAGTATAGTCATGCTTTATGCTGTCATTTTATCCTGTAGTCCCCTTTAAGATATTATGCATATTTATATATTTCAGTGGAAGAACTGAAGTCCAGTCAGTTCAATATGGCAAAGAAAAGGCAAATAAAGACAGGGTATTTGCAAGGTAAGTCAATTCTCTTTTAGTATCTGAGGTGACTTTTTTTTTTTTTTTTTTTTTGGTGTTTTTTTTTTCTTTTTTACACTTTAAGAGTTTATTTTGTGGTGTATGCGGGACACACACACACACACACACACACACACACACACACACACACACACGTGAAGGTCAGAGAACAACTTTGGGGAGTTGGTTCTCTCCTTCCATTATGTGGGTCCCAGAGTTGAACTCACATTGTCAGGCTTGGCAGCAAGCACCTTTATTTCCCCATTAAGCTATTTCACCAGCCCAGTGGATATCTGAGTTTTTTAGAAGGATAAAAATTTTTAGAAATGGGGACTGGAGAGATGGCTCAGTAGTTCAAAGCACTTACTGCTCTTATAAAAGATCCAGATCAGGGGATCTGATGCCCTCTTCTGGACTATGGACTCTTGCATGTGTATAGTGTGCGTGCATACACTTAGGTGCACACATATACACATAAAAAACTTTTTAAATTATTAGAAACGCTTTCTAAATAATCTGTTAAGTACACAGTACACTGTGTTTATGAAATGGAAACTAGTTTGTCTAGTGTCCTGATTCTTTTTTTGTTCCATATTTATAAACCTTAATCATGCATTGAGTACAATAGGTTTTAATAGGCTAAATCAAGTGTCGCTAATACAACCTTTTATTGGAAAGTTATTCTCCTGTTATATATTTTTTGAGAAATGTACTGAGTCTTATTATCCAGCCCATTTCTATATTTATTTGAATCATGCTATTAAAAGACAAGTTGCTTTTGATTTGCCTTTTAAAAAAATTTATCTTCTTTTTATTAAAATTTGTTAGGGCCAGTTTGCTTTTTAGTGATAGAAATGATACAATCAAATTTACATTTCAGAAAAATAAAGATAGAGAATGTGTTAGTAAAGTGTGGATTGGATACCTAGTGACTAATTAGGAGATGATTACAGTTATCCAATTAAGAATAATAAAGACCTTTACTGAACACTAATGGAGGATAGGGAACAAATTTGAGGGAACTAGCATTAGCTGCTGACCGATGGTTAGAGGTGCGATGAAACAGGTCTTTGTTCCTAGTGGAAACTACTTCAAGAGCAGAAAGCCCTGAAGAGTTATATGTCTGCCATCTGCTGCTACTAGAGACTTGGAAGCTTTCATAAAGACAACAAAAGAATTTTACTTGGTCAAAATTTTATTCTAAATATCTGTCCAAAAGTCATTCCTAGAAGAAATAGTGTTATGTTTGGCTTTACTTTTTCTCTTTTCATTCCTTCCAAAGTAAAAATTGCTCCCTGTTTCTAGCAATGGGTGACAATTCATTATATTCTAAAGACCCAACAGTATCTAGTGACTTGAAGAATAAATCATCCAAGACAGCCCTACAAACTTTGTGGTATTAGTCAAGATTTTTCCTTGCATACACTCAAGAGAGAGAAAGAGAGAGAGAGAGAGAGAGAGAGAGAGAGAGAGAGAGAGAGAGAGAGAGAGAGAGAGAGAGAGAGAGAGAGAGTGTGTGTGTGTGTGTGTGTGTGTGTGTGTTGTGATTATCTTGGATACCACTGCTCCAATTAGAAAGTTGTATAGACCTGGAAAAAGAGGATTTGCTTAGTAAATGTTGTTATTAAAATGTTTTCTGGCTGGGCAGTGGTGGCACAGGCCTTTAATCCCAGCACTCGGGAGGCAGAGCCAGGTAGATCTCTGTGATTTCGAGGCCAGCCTGGTCTACAGAGCGAGATGCAGGACAGGCCACCAAAACAACACAGGGAAATCCTGTGTCGAAATCCCCCCCAAAAAAATGTTTTCTGTACATTTGTCCATAAAAATAATTTACTTCTTGTCAACACTTGTCAAAATAATTATTCCAATTTAGAAAGAATTTGTTCTGGCTTTTTATACTGCCTCTTATTTGCAGTACTCCCCTATTTCTAGAAATCAAATTATTGTGTTATTTTAATGGTTTTTAACATACTAGATTTTAGAAATACGCAGATATGCCTTCATCTTCATTGTTTTGTATGTTCATTATTAAAATGGTACAAAGTTTGTATATATCTGTCTTTGTTTGTTTTGGGGGGTATGTGTGTGGACAGGGCATAGGTGTTGCTTTTTTAAGGTGCTAGGTTACCAAATCCAGGGTCTTAAGTATGCTAGGCAAGAGTTCTACTTGGAGCTATATGAACTTGTCCTGGGGAGCAGTTTCAATAGTGCTAGACTCTCCTAATGATTGCTGTCTCTCTAAGACTATATTTCCTGAGATTGTTCTATGTAAGACTCTTCCCTCATACAGAGCTACTACAATTCTCTAATGGTCTTACAAAGTGTTAAGTCATTTTGGTTGAGAATTCCAGATTTCTTGTCTCTCAGAATTTTAGATGGCAGTATAAATAGAAAGTTAAAAAAGATCTTTAAATTTTACAGGAAAAATTTTACCAATATTTATCCCCCCTTTCACCCTAATTAACTCTTTGAATTGCTTTCACACTTTTCAGTTATCATATAATATTCTATGAGGAAGAGAGGAAAATAAGGTTCTGCTCAACAGAAAAATAAGGTGCCATGATCAGAAAATAAACTCAACCACATTGCTAACAGTGTGGTATTTTTTTCTCTGAAATTTCCGAACAGAACAGGAAACATAGACAGCAGACTTGAGTGGGTGGGTCTCTGAGGTTAAAACTGTTAATAAATTAAAATGCCTGAAGTTTAGTTTTAAACTCTAGACATTTCCAAACATGTTTAGTTCGTTACCAAGAATAAAGTGTTCAGACAGTTTGTACTAGGTAAGTATGCTGGATTTTCAAATGATTTTTTCCCCCGTCTCTTAGTAATTTATCTTCGTTGGTTCTCACAGCTTACATTTAGTCTATTATATGAGGAAAGAATAGTTTGTAAATATTAAATATTAACACTAAGAGACTAAAGGTAGTAAATTATGGTAAGTTTAAGATTTTATTTTTTAAATTGAAGACATTACATAATATTGTCATTTGTGTGACTAATTGAAATATGTGTCCTCCATTGTGAGGGACTGAGTTTACTGGTGTCCTGAGTTAAAGTCAAGAAGTCCTGTGACTTAAACTCATAATGATAGGAAGAAGTATCTGTGGTTAAATTACTTTGACTTTACATTTGGAAAATGAAATTTGAGTCCATATTTTTGTTTATTTGTTTGCTTGTTTGTTGGTTTCTTTGTTTTACCAGCAACACTATGTCTCTTTTAAAAGATGCCCATTGGTTTTAGAGTTAAAAGAGATTAGACCAAACCAAGAGTGTTTGGCTATGAGATACTGAAATGATAGGATACTTGTATGATTTAGATTTTAAGTATTTATTATTCATAACTTAACAAACTTTTAAGATGCTAAAACATTGCACTGAAAACTGTGCTGTTAAGTCATAGAATTGAAGTGATAAGGAAGGACATAAAGACCATATTGCACTAATGAATTTAGATATTGAGTATAGAAACTTAAATAATTTTTCTAGTATACGCCAGAATTAGCATTCAGTGTACCTAGTAGGCATGATTATTTTAATATTTCCTGCTATGGACCTCAACCACTGTGGAATACCATTTGCTAAGCATTGCTATTCTCTCAGGCCATTCTGTTTGTGTAGTTAATGTGTCACAAAGGAAATTTTAGGCTGCAACTGCAAATTTAAACACAGTAAATGAATTTGAATGATCTTACTGTTTGGATGTATTTGGATTACTTAAATTTGCATTTATTTTGTGCCTTGCCTGATATTTTTTCTTAATTTATATAAAAGTATGTACATAGTACATGACAAGAGGGAAAATTATGGACAATTTTTAAGGCAAAAAACCTTCAATAATCTAAAAATTACATATAGTACTAAGTACAGTCTTTATTATTATTGGAAAAAAAATTGAAAATAAAATTCATAGAATAAAGTTTTTTGTTTTTTGTTTTTGTTTTGGTTTTTCTGAGACAGGGTTTCTCTGTAGCTTTGGAGCCTGTCCTGGAACTCACTTGGTAGCCCAGGCTGGCCTCGAACTCACAGAGATCCGCCTGCCTCTGCCTCCCGAGTGCTGGGATTAAAGGTGTGCACCACCACCACCTGGCCTCAAATGAAGATCTTTGAATAGAATGGGCCAACACTGAAAAAAGTTGGTTGCCTTTTAATATATGTTTTTATAAGTTCTTTTTGAATTTTGTATAATGTATTTTGATCATGTTCCCTTCTTTCACCCAGCTCTTCCTAGACCCACACTTTACTTCCTTTACCCTCCAACTTTGTGTTTGTCATGGTTTTGTGTTTTGTTTTGTTTTCTTCATCAAGACCAATTTGTGCTGTCCCAAATATTCTTGGTAGACTTATCAGCTTCTACACTGTTAGAGGAAACTGACCCTTCCTCTCCTGGCAGCTAAGAACTGCCAGTAGCTGCTCCGCTGGAGTGGGATTGGGTCTGCCTTGGGCTTGCACAGCTTTTGTGTGTGCTATCAAGACCACTTTCAGTTCCTAGGTGTGGCAGCCCTGCCAAATAAGTGTTTCTATTTCTATTTGTATGATCTAACTTTTGCAGTAGTGTGATGGTATCTGTTTGTTTTATTGTAATGTAACAAAATAACATACATGACTTTTATGGGTCTTTAATTTATTACTGAGATTAAAAGTCATATTGGGTGATTTAAGTCATTTAATTCATTTAATTAATTTCCAGAATAATTCTACATATCAAAAAGTGCACATTTATGTAGAAGAGTTTTGAGTAGTACTTGAATTTGCATATTAAAAACTTTGGTTATTAATATTCCTAAAATTCTAAGGATTTATGTCTCTGAATACAGTTATACCATTTGCTCTGTGGAAATTAGCATTTTTTTTCTTGGCAGGTCACTTAATTCTGTTTTATTACTGTGATAGCTGACAACAGATAATAAAACATATCCTTTTGTGTTGGGGAGATCACTCAGTAGATGGGAACCATTGCTGCTCTTGCAGAGGACTAAAGTTTATTTCCCAGAATTCATATCAGGTAGCCTAACAGCAGCCTGTTGCTCCAGCTCCAGGAGATCTGATACCTTCTTCTCACCTCTGCAGGCACCCACACTTAAATGCGTGCACACACACAGGCACAGATACACATAACCAAAAATAGAAGAAATCTTTAAAAAATATCCTTTTGTTCCCCACCACAAGACATAGTAGTTTTTTTTTTTTTTTTTTTTTTTTTTTTTGGTTTTTCGAGACAGGGTTTCTCTGTGTAGCTTTGCGCCTTTCCTGGAACTCACTTGGTAGTCCAGGCTGGCCTCAAACTCACAGAGATCCGCCTGGCTCTGCCTCCCGAGTGCTGGGATTAAAGGCGTGCGCCACCACCGCCCGGCGACATAGTAGTTTTAAAATGTTTTTATAAAAAGAAAGGGAAAGACATTCACTGTCCATACTCTACATAAAAGAGAAAAAATTATAGATGCAGTATGTATGATTATCATTTTTTGCCCTCCCCTCACTGAAGCAGAGGTTCAGAATTAAAAGTCATCGAGGAGATAATGTGGTGAGACTTGTTCAGTACACCTCATGTTAAACAGCGTTCTGAGTACTACAGAATAGATGTAAGCAAAGATCTATAACTTTGTGATTCAAGAAAATGTTTGATAGCAAACTTCTCCTTTGCTCTTCTTTATTTCTTTTTTTAATATTCCTTGTTCTCTTATTCTTCATAACCCCACCTTTCTTTTTTTGTCATGTAAAGCAGATATATCCTGTTTGAAATTATTTGATAAATACTATCAAAACAATGAATTTCTTATAAGCAAACTCTTTGAATATGATCTATTAAAATGAGTTTTAAGATTTGACTCATAGGTACATGTTATATAAAAACAAACCTTTTCTATGTATTATTCAAATTTTTCTACAGATCTCCAAGTAAGCCTTTGGCACGGAAATTAATGGATTGGGAAGTAGTTAGCAGAAATTCATTATCTGATGACAGGTTAGAAACACAAAGCCTCCCATCCCGGTCTCCACCCGGAACTCCCAATCAGTAAGTGGCAAGCCAGCATCATGCTTGCATTTTGCTTCTAAGTTATTGGCTACGTATCTTATTGCCTTAAGATTATCATATATAAAAATTTAAATCCTTTGATCAAATTTTCAAAAAAATAGTTTTATTGTATTTTACTTTGTGTGTGTGTATGTGTGTGAGGGCATATGTGTGGGCATATGGAGAGTAGAAGACAATTTAGGGGAGTCAATTCTTCCACTATATGAGTCCCTAGGATTGAAATCATGTATTCAGATTGGGTGGCAGATGCCTTTACTTGGTTAGCTCCCTCACCAGACCCAAACATGATTGGTGTTACTTCAAGCATTATTTCCTCTTTGTTTTCTGCTTACTGTTAAAGTGGCCTACAATAATAGCTTTAGGGAATGAACGAATAGATTGAAGGACAACCTTCACTTTCCTTAGCAGTTGGCTTTCACAGGAAGGGTAGTTAAGGATTTAGTCATGACTTTAAAATTTCATAGAACTGTTGTTTATGGAGTCCATTTCCATGTAGATCTCCATCTGGATTTTTTTTTTTTTTTTTTTTTGCGACAGGGTTTCTCTGTGTTAATGGCCCTGGCTGTCCAGGAACTTCCTATGTAGATCAGGCTGGCCTTGAACTCACAGAGATCCTCCTTCCTCTGTCTCCCAAGTGCTGGGATTAAAGGCCTGTGCCACAACCTCCTGGCTCCACCAGGATTTCTAAAGGGGTATAAATTGTTTGAAAATGCTTTGTCTGAGTGATTGTTATTCAGTGCTCTAGCACTTCCTGTGGCCTAGAAAAAGATTTCTAACAGTAGCCCCATAAGCTCAAGTAGAGCTGGGTCAAGAATGGTGAGGTGTAGCTCTAACCATGTGTGTACTGCAGTCTAGCATTTCTCACAAAGCTGCCAGGTTTGGGTATAGATAATAAGAAGAAAGGGAAGGCTTCCTCAGATAGCCTATATTAGAAGAGGGAGGGTTAGGGAAGGTGTGCGGGAGAGGAAAGGGTGGAAGGAATGTAAGAGGGATGATCTAAATAATAACAATAGCTCTCATTAAGTTTTCTAGGAAATGAAATAATTTTAAGGATGATCTGGAAAAAAGACAATACAGCACAGTGATTAAGCAGTGGCTCTAGAGTCAATATTTAAAACTTGAAGTTGATTTCCATCCCGTTTTCTCATCTGCAAAATCCTATTTGTAGATGGACACAAGGACACATGCCTTTAATCCTAGCATCCTTGTTATAGTAAGTGTCCTACAGTCTTAATGTAGAATTCCATGACATAACAAATGAAAGATACTTAGAAAAATGCTCAGTTATTAACTATTGCAATTAATAATTAAAATGATGATATTTATGTAACTGCCAGCTAGGATAGTGGGGTTCTTCATCATCTAGTCATAGGAATTCAAATTCCACAAATTAAAAACATCAAGAAGAAAAAGTAATTGAGTCTAGAGTCTACTTCTGAACATTTATTCCAGTCAGTTTCATAAATGTTGAATAAGGCATCAGATTAATAGTGACTAAAACCTAGTAACACTAGGTAGAGAGAATAGTGAAGTGTAAGGCCTTATAGCCAATTATAGACTGCAGTCAAGTCTTGATTTTGTGTTCTTTCTGTTTATATCACTGTTAGAGATTCTGCATTTTCAATAATTCTTTAAAACACACACAAACAGATACCACTTTCTCAGGAAACTATATAATCAAAAACCATGGAAAACTCAAAGTATACTTTTGTTTAGGCTTTGTTTCTCTTCATTTAGTCGGAGTTCTGCATTCACACAAGAGGGGACCCGGGTCCGGCCGTCTTCAGTTGGTCATTTGGTAGACCATGTGGTTCACACATCCCCCAGTGATGGTTTTGTAAATCAGAGATCTCCATCATCAACACAAGCTAATAGCATAGTTCTGGAATCATCACCGTAAGACCCCTTTTCAATTTTTCTTCTTAATTCTTTATTTTCAAATACCTTAAATTGCTTCACTTGAAATAATCTTGGAAATTAGAGTACTTGATACAAGGTTACTTATATAATTATGAATACATATTTGTAAATGTATTTATTTGTCGTTTAAATGTCTTGTTGCCTCTCTTCTCTTTAACCCTCTGGTTACTGACTATTCTTTAATTTTTAGTGTATACTCTCAAATATTTGTTCAGGTAATATAGCAGTATGGTTAGGAAGTAGGAGAATGTAAGACAGTCTTCTTGACTTTTTTTTGAAGGAAAGAAACCATAAATATGAACAGAATATATAACAAAAAGTATCAAGAGAAGAATAAGTGAGATGGTTATCACACACAGTTATAGAACGCATGCCCACATCTTTCTTTTCTTTTTTTCTTTTTCATATTTTGAGACAGGGACTCCCTATGTAGTCCTGGCTAGCCTTGAACTCAGTGATTTAATGTCTCTGCCTCCCCTCAAGTGTGTGCCACTACTCCTGACTATCCACATTGTTTCTAAAGTATGTTCCTACTATTATTTTTATACTGATTGATATATCAATAGCTTCTTATTTCAGTATTGATAGCCATCGGTCTAATGCATAGTCTGCATATCCTCACATTAATATGCAACATCTTAATTTATCAGCTTATGTAGTGGAGATAACTCATATACATTTGACATAATTGAAGGACGGTACCTACACAATAACAGATGAGTAAGAAATACTTTGTTGAAGAGAAAGGAGTATATAATACAGTATATAATGAATGTGATCAGTCTTTAAGAACGAATAGGTCTTAGGGTAGGAATAAAAGAGAGATGAAGAGGTCTGCAAAGTGTTATAGCTATTCTGGAAAACCCTGACCAGCCATGGTTATACTTAGGCCAAGCAAAGCTAAGCTGCCAAGACATGTAAAAGTCTAGCCTTGGTAACTTAGGTTATTTTAAGAAGACATTGTGTTTGTCTACATTATAAAGAATGAAAGAATATAACAGATATATCATACACAATGAAACTTGTAAAAACTGAGTTGACAAGAGAGCGAATTGATAGAAATTTAATATTTTATTACTTTAAAAATGATAACTAACTTTTTTGTTGGGTTTTGACAATCGTATTTTCTGAAATTGAAACTTTAAAAGTATGAAGTAAATCTTAAGACCTAACCAAACAGTTCTATTTTTGTATATTAATTATATCCTTGAAAGGTTGCATGTATTTTCTAAACTGCCTGTTTAACTTACCTTGAGCACTAACTAGTGTTTTAGTCACTTTTGTGTATAACTGACCAAATACTTGAGAGAACCACTTAAGATAGGGAAAGATGTGTTTTAGTGCACAGTTTCATACATAGATTTCAATCTAGAATCCTTGGCTGTTGATTCTGGACCCATGGTAAGGCAGAACATTACGGCTGCAAGGCCATGCAGCAGAGACTACTCACTCATAGTGGTCCGGAAGCAGAGAGAAAAGCAGAAAAGCAGGGACTGGGTACTCGCCTAGAATCTACCCCCAGTAACTACTTTCTGCAGGTAGGTCCTTCCTGCTAAAGTCTCCACAACCTCCCAACACAACTACCTCAATCTAGGAACCAAATATTTAACACATGAGCCCGAAAGGAGTATTTCATGTCCAAACTGAGTCATCTGTCTAGTATAGTGTTTATTTAAAAAGTTATCTCAGCATCAGTATAAATTAGCCAAAGAGCCAAGAAACCTAAGTTTTAAGCCAAAATTTTATAATTTAAGTGAAGTTTCAGGTTAAATGGAGGGCTGACACTAGTGACTGGAGTTAAATGTGACATGATCTCCTGGTGTATATCTTAGAAAATGAGAGTCATTAGTAGAACTACCTTTCATAACTCAGGTTTATATTAGTGTCTGTCTTAGAGGGTAGCAGATTAGCAGGCGGCCTTGGATGTCTCTCCTCATAAACTTTCTACTGTACATGAATCCTAATTGGTCTTAATAAATAATAACTCAGAGTCAGATATAGGGAGAAACATCGGAGAGGCAAAAGGACAAGCCACAGCCATCACCTCTTATCTTGCCAACTCCTCAGCCTGAAAGAGACTGAGCTCCTATCTCCTCTAGCCTTATATTCCTCTCTACACCCAGCCATATCACTTCCTGTCTCCACCTCCCTAGTGCTGGGATTAAAGGCATGAGATCCCAAATGGGATCAAAGGTGTGTGCTACCATTGCCTGGTTCCATTTCTCTTTTAGACTGGATCAATCTTGTGTAGCCCAGGGTGCCCTTGAACTCACAGAGATCTGTCTCCCTCTGCCTATTGAGTGCTGGGATTAAAGGTGTGTGCCACCACTGCCTGGCCTCTATGGCTATCTAGTGGCTTAGCTCCACACTCTGATCATCAGGCAAGCTTTATTTGTTAGATCACAAACATAATATCACCACATTCTACCTTTTGTTTTAGATAGCACTGGGTGGGAATTTATGTGGCCTGGAATGCAAAAAACATCAGCTGCCTCTTGTTTTTATTCACTGTTTAACAATTGATGATTCATACACATTCTTCCCAAAGCATCTGGATTTTCATTCTAAAAGTCCATATTGTATATAATTTTCAAAATGTACTCATTAACATTTTCTAAAAACAATGAATGGGCCAAATATATGTTGGCCAAAATTGTACAATCCCTGAATTTTCAAGTACTGTCCAGGACAATGATTTCTAATCAGAAGTACACTGTGGGGGTGAGGGGAAACCTGCAGCTTTTTAATGGTGTATATTTAAACTGTTTTAACCCATAGAAATGTGGATTTAACAGTATTTGTAAAATATCTCATATCCATGCAGTCCCTCTCACATAGCTGAGCACTGCTACTATTATGCCCATACCCATCAGCTTTAAGCACTCAGCTATTCCACAGCAGACCATTGATCCTGCTATGTATTTTTGCCAGAACAAGAATAAGAGAAGTTTCTCTGACTCTATTGCCAACTAATTTCAGCCTCACACACCCTTTTCTTCTAAGCCTTTGGTTTTGAGGCTAAATCCTGAGCAAACAGCTGTTTGCAAGGCCAGAAAAATCTTAGATTTGGGGGCCATGTAATGCCTACATTTTAGACATTGGTGAAGTTTCACCAAAGGGTGTCTGTTTTAATTTGCCTTCATACCATGCAGGCCATGGTCCAAGCCTGTATTCATGATCATAGAAATACTTTCTGGACTAGCAGTGTTTGAATACATTACTCCTCAGAGGCTTGTCTTCTTGGCAATTGAAAGGAACAGAAACAAAACAAAACAAAACAAAAAAGGAACCTGTGATCCCTGGTCATGAAGGTAGATCTTAAGGAAGTTTTTATTGAAGAGAAAGGGTACATACCCTGATGCAGTAATTAAAAGGTCTACCAGAATTTATAACATTTGTGGGTTACCAAAGAAAAATGGGGAGGATATGAGGGAGGGGAACGTGTTGGGAATGTGTGTGTGTGGGGGGGGGGGGATTTGGGGAATTAAGATGGATATGAGCAAGTATGAATATGTATGAAACTGTCAGATAGTAAAAGATATTCTTTTTAAAAAAAATTTAGAGTGTTTGGTCTCTGAATTGTTTTACACAGACACCTAGATGAGTGGGCATTATTGTGGACTTATACTTAGTTATATTTTATGCCAGATTAGAAAACTTCATGACTTTCCTTAGCACAAACTTCTCTGGGAAGCCATTAAGCCACACTATCCAATTTGAATCCGCTACCCCACCTCACCACCCCCCACCCCCCCACCCTCGACTACCTCCCTAACTACCAGGTTTCTAGCAGCCACCTTCTAAAGAAGTTCATGCCTCTACTGCCAAGGGAAAGAATGTATACAAGGTTGCTCCTGTCATGACCTTTCTGTTATCGTGGGTTAAATTGTACTGTTGTAGCAATTGAGCCTCACTGATGTAGAAGAAATGTTTGTTGCTGTCATCACTGTCTGTACATCATTCATCAGTTGTGGCTCTGTTCCATATTATCTTCATACCAGGCCAAGTCTCTGGTTGGGGGGGGGGGGGGCGTGGCTAGTCTCATGGCATGGAAGACTCTTCAAGGAAGAAGAGTCATAATGAATCAGGATCTATTTCTTAAAGCTTCCCTTTGAAAATGACACATGCTACTTCAATCCAATTTCATCCACTGAAGCAAGTCATATATGGACAAGCCTGATGTCATCCCTGGAGGAGGGCAAAGGGTAGTCTTTAAAATGATAGCATCATTTAAGCATCTATTATCAGTTCTCCAAGTGAGTAATGCTTAGTTAGCTCTTGGTTAGCTCTATCCTTGAGTATATCAAGAACCATTTTCAGTGCTGGAGAGATGGTTCACTTAAGAACACTTGCTGTTCTTGCACAGAACCTGGATTCAGTTCCCAGCACTCACATGACAGACAGCTCATGACTATCTGTAACTCAAGTGCCAGGGAATCCAGTGCCCTCTTCTGGCATTATAATGCATTTGATATACGTACATATATGTAGATAAAACACTCATACACATAATAAATTTAAGAAAGAACCAATTTTAATTAGATATTGTAGCATACACCTGAAATCAAAGCACTCAGGAGACAGAAGCAGGCAATTCAAGACCAGCCTGGATACAGAATGAGACCTTGTCTCACAAGGGAAATACCCCCCCCCCACACACACAATTAATAAAAAGAAAAACAAAACAACAACAACAAAAAAAAAACAACCATTTTTTTTTATCATGCTGGGGAAACTGGAAATGCACATGTAAAAGACTGAAACTAGTTCTCTTGGTCTAGTTGTGCAAAATCAACTCAAAATACATCAAAGACCTTAATATAAGACCTGAAACTAATTACAGAAGACCAATTGCAAGCACTTCAGACAAGTGTGGACAGCACGTTTCTGAATCGCACTCCAATAGTTCAGGAGAATAGGACAGCAACGATTGACAAACAGAATTGCATCAAATTAAGAAGTTCTGTTCAGTAAAGAAGCAATTTTCAGAGTGAAGAGACAGCCTATGGAATGGGAGGAAAATCTTTGCAGATATTCATCAAATGGATTAGTATTCAGAACAAATAAAAAACTCAAAAAACAAAACCAAAGGAACAAATAATCTAGTAATGAATAGGCAGATAAACTGACCAAATAGTTCTTAAAAAGAAGTACAGACCCTTGAGTACTTTCATTCATATGGCCTGTTTTCACTCTTGATCATCATCTGACCTATCTTTTCACTCTGAATAAAATTATGTTGCTACTTTAATCCTTGAGTACAAATGGCCAATGAACACATGAAAAAAAATTCAACAACGTATTTAGCCATCAGGGAAGTAAAACCCAAAACTCCATTGATACTCCATTTCATCCCAATCAGAATGATTATGATAAAAACAACAAATAAGTGCTGGCAATGTGGAGGTTGTATAATAGAACCCTGTACGCTGTTCACGGCAATGTAACATACTGTGACTGCTACAGAAATCAGATGATCCTCAGAAAACCTGAAGATAAAGTTACCGTATGATTTATCCTTAGTACTCCTGGGAACCAGTGCCATAGTACACTAACGATAACTACCGACCCAAGTTCACTGGGGGTATTCACAGTAGCTAAATTACGGCATCCGCCAAGGTCCCCATCATAAGAATGGATAAAGAATATAGGTATATTGAATATAGAGAATATGTAGAATATAGATACACTGAAGTATTGATTATTCAGCTATGGGAAAAAATCATGTTTGTAGGGATTTGGATAGAACTAGAGATCATCATGTTAAATCAGCCAGACCAAGGAAGAGATAAGTTTTCTGTCATGTGTGGAATCTGAATTTAAAAGAAGACTGTTGAGAAAGGACCAAAGCCAAGGAAGACATTAAGACAGAAGAGGATAGTGGAGAACAATGTGAGAAAAATACATAATATACATTGGATATACAAAAATAGCACAATAAAACTTTTGATCCATTAAATTGTTGCAATTAATATATGCACATTTTTAATGGGAAAAAAAGATTCCCATTCCTGCTCTCTTTTTTTCCAAGCTTACTTTCATGGATGCCAGCATAGTAAGATAAAAGTTGAACATTGGTTCTTCCTTCTGGAAGGCCCTTGTGGAAAATCACAAGTTATGTTCTATAGACTATTGGGTCTTAAAAGTTATGATTTCTACCTTGAAATCTCTTGCTGAATATGTAGCTATCAATTCCTGTTGCCACAAATTAGAGAGCTTTTAATGTTTTTATAAATTGCTGTCTTTTCACCTGACAAGATTCTATGAAGTTTTGTCTCTTCAGTGATGACCTTAATACTCTAGTCTCTGTCCCATGATTGCATTTATTAACCTCATGAGCCATGGTAAAGGAGGACAGTAATTTAAAGTCATTAGACTATAACTACCAGGAGGTTTTTTCTGTTCAACATCCAATTCTCAGAGTTTTGTTTTGTTTTGTTTTGGTTTGGTCTTTTATTTTGAGCCTATAATATAAGTTCATGATTTCTCCCTCCCTTTCCTCCCTAAAAACTCTCCCATAAATCCCCCCTTGCTCTCTTTCAAATTCATGGCCTCTTTTTCATCAATTGTTACATACGTGTGTATGTGTCCATATATATATTTACATAATATATTATGTATATATTATGTGTGTATATATAATGTGCATGTTCCATATATAATATGTGTGTGTGTGTGTGTGTGTGTGTGTGTGTGTGTGTGTGTGTGTGTGTGTGTGTGTGTAACTGGTCTGTATGTTTTCAGGGCTGACCATTGGTATTGGATAAATAACTGGTGTGCTTGTCCCTGGAAGAGTATTACTCCCACTCACAGCATTCCTTAGTTATCTGTAGTTCTTTGTATAGAGTTCAGGCCTTGTGAGCTTTTTCCCCATGCCCTTTGGATGTCTGTTGTTGTTGTCCTTGTTCAGCTCATGTATTTAGCTCATGTATGTTGGTGAGTGTGGCTTCTGATATTCCTAGGACACACAGTCTCACAGAACTCCCTGACCCTCTGGCTCTTTCTATTCCCTTTTCTGCAATGTTCCCTGAGCCTTAGGTGCAGGAGGTATTACCTAGATGTATCCATTGGGACTGGAGTCTATAGCTCTGCATTTTAATTGGTTAGATTTTCTGTAACGGTCTCCATCTGTTACCAAGAGTTCCTTGATGAGGAGTGAGAACTACACCTATCTGTTTGTATAAGGACGAATATTTAGAGTATAGTTCGGGATTATGCTAGTTTAGTAAAGTAGTGGTTATAAGTTCTTGTCCCTGATCCATGAGTCTAGTAGCCCTGGGTAATTGGCTAGCTTCCCAGGACCAAGCACGATTTCTCTCTTGTTGAGTGGATCTTACGTCCAATTAGAAAGCTGTTGGTTACTACTAAGGTGTGTGTGCCACTATATACCCTTAGGGGTTATTGTGCCTTGCTGGTGGTTGTGGTTCATAGGTGCTATAGTTAGGTAGGACTGGTGGTTGCCTTCCTCCTTTGGAAGATTGCGTGGAGCCTTCTTGAACCATGAAAGCTCTTCCTCAGTGAGGAGGCATGAAGTTAGTTCCAGCTCAGGGAGCCTCTGGGCCATGGGTCTGAAGTACATGGTGTCCACAGGAATAGAGGCTTACCTTCTGAAATTCTATTTTGACTTCTCTTTGCTACAATACTCTCTGGCTACCCATGCCTCCATTGAAAACATTAAAAAAGCAAACAAACAAACAAACAAACAAAAACTGTTTTGGAAAGGTATGTACATTATTACAACAAATTAATAAATATCTTCATAGGAATGAATACCTTTAAGGTATTCGATAATTGCTTATTGGTTGATTAAAAGCAGATTTACAATTTAAAAAAAATTATTAAAAAGTTGCATTTCCGCCGGGCGGTGGTGGCGCACGCCTTTAATCCCAGCACTTGGGAGGCAGAGGCAGGCAGATCTCTGTGAGTTCGAGGCCAGCCTGGTCTACAAAGCGAGTTCCAGGAAAGGCGCAAAGCTACACAGAGAAACCCTGTCTTGAAAAACCAAAAAAAAAAAAAAAAAGTTGCATTTCCAAGTAAATATATTCAAAGCCTTTCCACACTAGACATGGTTGGTATCTGGATTGCTTGACCTAATTTAAATAAGTTATTTTCATCAGATGATTACAAAAATATATTCATTTCTTCCCCCCTTTTCTTACCTAGATCACAAGAGACCCCTGAAGATGGGCAGCCTCCAGCTTTACCACCCAAACAATCTAAGAAAAACAGTTGGAACCAAATTCATTTTTCCCACTCTCAGCAAGATCTAGTAAACCATACTAATGAAACCTTTGATGTGCCCTCCTCCCCTGAAAAGTCCACTGTAGGTAGCCTCACTTTGTTTGGAACTTTTAAAAGCCTGAATGCAGTTTTATTTTGAACCATAGCATGTTTTAGTTGTAAATTATAGTACTTTGTCTTTTTTTCTGATTCTTTGATCATGATTTATACCATTATGGAGTTATCTTTTTCTTCATTTATAAAGTGCCAATTGCTTTGAGTTAATGTCTTAACAACTTAGTGGTAATTTCAGTATACAAAATATACATATGCTTCCAGAACAAATTCTAATAATTCAGTAAATACTTATTTTAATATGTAATTTCTTAGTGCAGATATATTCCCCAACTTTTTAAAATTTGTTACAGATCTAATAGTGTATGTGCATTCTACATCTTACAAAATAATTTATAACTTTTGCTTCTCCAGAATATGCTTTTGTACAATAAAATGATGAGTTGTTAGAATCTTAATGGTTTATTAATTACTTTCTCAAGAAGATTTAAATAAGCCGTAAGTGAGATTACCAGTTTAAGAATACACTGTGTTCCTAAAAAAGCAAGCACAGTTATATGTAGATATGTTTCAGGAAATTTAAAGAGACATTAGGAAATTAAATAGGATGCAAAAGGGAAAGTCCATTGTAGGCTTCAGCATCTAGTGTCAAAGGCCTTTGATTACTGTACTCCCTGCCTTCTTGTTTATTTACTCCGAGCTTCTCCCATTACCAAAAGTTGAAACCATTCTATTTTCTCACATGTACTGTTCCACTACAATAGACTTAATCAAAAGAGATCAGAATTCTTACCAAAAATGACAACTCCAGTACTAACTCTATGGTGATGTTTATGTGTCTCTTCTTGCATGCATTGATTCATTCATGGTTACGGAACTTGTATTTTGATGGTAGTGGGTATGCAAAGACAATTAACACATGGTAGTTGTTATTATATAATTTACAGTCTAGTTTGTTTCTTTAAAAATTCTTTAGTAAAGGCTAGAAGATAGCTTAGTTGGTTAAATGATGGCTCCACAGGCACTCCGAATGTACAGACAGGTGGAGCCTTGGGGGCTCATTAGTCAGCCAGCCTAACCCTAAATGCTAAGTCCCTGGTTGCAGTGAGAGATGCTCTCAGAAAGCAAGATGGACAGCACCTGAGGAGTACTGCCCAAGGTTGCCCTCTAGCCTCCACAGTTAGGTTCGTACATACCTGCACACACATGTGCACCTCCACACACAACCATGCACGCACACATATACATGAATATTTTAAAAACACAAACTAGAGAATCACCAAGAAATGTGTGTAGTTACCTAAATAAAGGCTCTAGAAACTGAGCCTCCAGTCCACCAAATTATAAGAATAAGGAAGATTAAAGGAGACAGAGAATATGCAGGCAGACTAGTAGAAGGAAAAGTAGGCAACAGGATGTAATAAAGGAACCCAAAGAGAAAATGATCACTCTTGTTAAATGCTGCAGGTAATTCAATAAGATAAGGGTTGGGACTTAACTCTGGATTTAGCAATGGGAAAATATTTGTTGTCTTAATTTAGTCATGGAATAGTGGAGATGAAAATCTGACTAGTATTACATAAATGAAAGGAATGGGAGATGACAAATACTTCCCGTTTGCCAGTGTTCTTGCCAGTAGAATGGAAGGAAGAATGAGAGAATGCATCTTCAAGTTATTAGTCAAAGAAACTTATTTTCCTCAGTTAACATTTTTCTTAGAATTTTAATTATTTACATACCATAGATAATACAAGCAGATATAATATATACTTTATTTATAATCTGAAAATTCTTTATTTTTGTCTTTTCAAGCCTAATGGTGGCATTCCACATGATAATCTTGTTCTTATCAAAATGAAACCTGATGAAAATGGAAGGTTTGGGTTCAATGTAAAGGTAATCTGGAATTTGTCATAATTAGTTTTTATATTAGGGTGTTCTTAGTTTGGTAGTATTTAACTTTCTTTGTGTTTTCCAGGGAGGATATGATCAGAAGATGCCTGTAATTGTGTCCCGAGTAGCACCTGGAACACCTGTAAGTTAGCCTAAATTTTTTGTGCATACTGTTTTTACGAATATATACTTTGGGGCCAGGTGGTGGTGGCACATACTTTTAATCCTAGCACTTGGGAGGCAGAGACAGGTGGATCTCTGTGAGTTTGAAGCCACGGGGCCAGCCTGGTCTACAGAGCGAGTTCCAGGACAGCCAGGGCAACACAGAGAAAGAAACCTTGTCTCGAATAACAAAAAAGAATATATACTTTGGGGCCAGGTGTGATGGTTGCCTGTCTTTAATTCCAGCACTTAGGAGGCAGAGGCAGGTAGATCTCCATTGAGTTCAAGGCTAGCCTGGTCTACACAAAGACTTCCAGATCAACCAGAGCTACAAACAAACAAAAGACAAATATACTTTCTAAAATGTTTTTATGTGTATGAATATTTTGTTTGCATGTATGTCTGTGCACCTTCTGTGTATGTGTGGTGCCCTCAGAGGTCAGAATGCAGTGTAGCATCCACATGGAACTGGAGTTATGGTCAGTTGAGAGCTACAATGTGGGTCTTAGGAATGGGTCCTCTACAAGAACAGCAAGGGCTCTTAACTACTAAGCTGTCTCTCCAACCCCATTTGTACTTTTAAAAAAAAATTAGTTTTGCATGTGTGAGTGTTTTGCCTGCCTGTTTGTGTGTGTATACCACATGCATGCTTGCTGCCTGTGGAGACCAGGAGAGGACATTGTATCCCTCAGAACTGGAGGAAAAGCAGAACGTGCTTTAACAAAGCCATTTCTTCACCCATTTACTTTACTTTTACTTAAAAAAAAAATCATTGAGATGGATTGGCTGTTTAGAACACTGGCTGCTCTTCTAGAGGACCCAGGCTCGTTTCTCCAAACCCACACAGTAGCTCACAGCTGCCTGTAACTCTACTTCAAGGAGATCCAGTGTTCTCCACAGGTATCAGGCATTTTTGTGGGCACAGACATAGATGCAATCAAAACACTCATACACATAAAATAAAAATAAATCACTTTTATTTGCTTAAATAAAGGAAGAAAGTTAAAATTTACTTTTCAACTTGTCGAGTGCCAAATGTTAAATCTCAATGCTAAGTACCATATTGTAAGTTGCGGGGCAGATAGATTTTAATTAACTCTCTGTCTTAGAAAGAAGCTATCACTGGCTGCAGTGCTAAAGGGTTCTGTCCAAATAACCTCCTCATTCAACAAATGCAGAGGAAGATGGAGTTCATCAGATTTTTGTTGTGGCTATTTGCTTTTTTTTCATTTGGAGTAGTACATTACTTGCCTACTTTTTGTTTTAAAATTACTTTTTTTTGTTGTTGTTGTTGTTTTTTGAGACAGGGTTTCTCTGTGTAGTTTTGGTGTCTGTCCTGGATCTTGCTTTATACACCAGGCTGGCCTCGAACTCACAGAGATCCGCCTGGCTCTGCCTCCCGAGTGCTGGGATTAAAGGCGTGTGCTGCCCAGCTTAAAATAACATTAAATGAAAATGATATGGGATTATTTTTGAAATTCTAATATGTACATTCTAAGAACATTGAACCTGTAACAGTGAATCCCCCTGTTACTCATCATTAAGCTTCCTCAGGCATGAATTTTCTGTTCATCATTGAATAATTCTTATTGGTGTGTTATCTGGAAACATGCTAAAATATTAGCAAGCTTTCTCTTGGAAAAATGGAATTACTGGTATTTTCACTTTCTTTTTTTCTTCCTATTTAATTATCTGAGTCATGACATCGAACATGCTTTGCTCTTCTTATGAGGTCTATGTATTGCTGGTGACTTACTCCCTTCTGCTGTATAGAATTAGGCTTTTGAAATGTTGGTTGAATTTAGAACATATTGAAGCAGTAGAACTTTCTCATTTTTAAATTATTTCATTAATTTAGATACCACCACAGTCTTCCATGCTGTGACCTTTTTTAAAAAAGATGATTAAAGGAAACAAAAGTTGTTTTGTCTTGTTCTGTTGCTTTTCCAAGACAGGGTTTCCAGGACAGAGTCCTAGAACTCACTCTGTAGACCAGGCTGGCCTTGAACTCAATAATCTGCCTGCTTCTGCCTCCCAAGTGTGGGATTAAAGTCTTGAGCCACGATCCCAACCCCCTACCCTATCCTCTCCCCCACCCCCTGCCCAACCTAGTTCAGTATTTTAATGTCAGTCTTTTTTTTTTTAATTGTGTATTGGGTACCTCAGAAATAGATAATTCACATTAAAGTAATTGTTTTCTTTCTGTATGGAAATTTTGTAATCAATGTCTGTTGCTCTTATGAAATTTATCTGATATGCAGGTGTTTTAACTTTTCAGATCAGAAAGAAATGTAAATAAAAACTGATATCTGACAAAAGGCAGGTTAAATATGAGAAAGTTCCCACCGGTGATAGATGGGTATAATAAAAGACTCATAGAAGACTTATATCCTCTAATACATAGACCACTTCCTCTTTTCTGCCAGAATACTACCCACAGAGTAATATGATAGGACAACTCTTTCTGCTGAAGTAACACTTCTCTCAGTACTACAGCAACCATTCTGCTTCATTCTGGGTATCCTAAACACACATTTTTAAAAGCATAGAATCAAACTGATACATAGATGCATTTCCCTACATAAAGGACTATATAGATGTTTGCCATCTACTTCGTTGAGTAACTAGCCACCAAGAAAAACCTCACAAACAAACAATAAGGTTGACATTTGAATATTTGAGATTTAAAAACATTTGATTGAATTAACCTCATTTTTATCTTCACAACTCTAGAACATAAATCAGGATAACTACCTCCTTGTTGCATTTCTCAGAGTGTTGGGTCTCTAAGATTACACATCTCATAAGCAGTGGATGAGCTTAACCTTTACAGCAGTGTTCTTGACACTGGTCACACTACTTTGCTGAGTATTATCAAACTGTTTGCAGTAAATTTCAGTAAGTTAGATCCATTTCTCCTCCCTTTGTCATAGCCTTTTTCTCACTACCTGGCCTGCCATCTTTATGCTTGGTCTCCTATGTTTCCATAGAGCATGTTAGTCATTATGGAGTGCCCAGGGATCTGGGGATAATGCTATGTCCCGAGTGGGATATCCGAGGGAAACAAATCTACATACACTATGCTCGCTCTTATGTCTGTTAACTTTATTCCTCTAAGACAAAACTTTATCTACTCAGCTACAGCTCCATCAGGTATTCAGGACAAGAATAAATCTTGCTACACCAAGTTCTTTATCCGTCTACTTTATTTCTCTGGGATGAAATCCTGTCTACATAGCTTCAGTTCCATCCCGACACTCAGTTCTTCTTTGCCTCTCTTTTACTGTTCCCTCAAAGTCCTGCTAACAACTAAGCTCTTATGCTTCCCGCCTCATCTTCATCCTCTGTTTCTCCTCCCTTCATCCCTACTTGCTCTCTACTCCTGGCACTGATGAACTCTACAAGAGTTCTGCCTTACTATCTACTTTAACTCTGTGTTCTTCCCTTCTCCCTTCTCTGCCTCCACAGGAATGTTGCTCTACCTTCCACCTTGATATGTACAAACCTCTTTTGTACTCAGTCAGTTGCTCTGGAGAGCCACTAGGCCTCACGGCATCATTTGCACAAGAAACAAAGCTATGCAGCTTCAGCCAGCTTGTCGCCTAGACTCAGCAGGGGAGTTAGTTACCCGTTTGCCAAATGGTCTGGGTATGTTTGAATTTCATAGCAGAAGACAGCTGAAATATTAAAGGCTAGATAATACCAAATATTCATAATAAATGGCTTGCCTTTTGACAGACCCTTGGCCAGTCAAAGTATAGCTTTAATACAGAGCTGAATCTCTATAATATATTCTTGTGGCTCTCTACAATTCATATTTCTGTTTCTTTTATTTCCTTTATATTTTTAATTAATTTTTAAAGTTTTATGTGCATTGGTGTTTTGCCTGCATGTGTGTCTGTGTGAGGGTGTTGAATCCTGGCGTTACAGACAGTTGTAAGCTGACATGTGGGTGCTGGAAATTGAACCCATGTCTTCTGAAAGAGCAGTCAGTGCTCTTAACTGCCAAGCTCTCTCTACCCTGTGTCCTTTATCTTTATTACGGGGTGATTTTTCTCAGTATTCAGTCAATCTGTATTGCAGTGGTGCAGAACTATAAAGATTGCCATGCAAGGTGAAATCATGCGATAGACTGGTAACCAGCTGGAAAAAGTACACTGTTTTCATGACTTTTAGATCTACTTTCTATACATTAAAGTCTTTTGTGCTGTCTGTTATAAAAATATTGAGGAACACAAGAAGTGTGTTAGGTAGTCCAAAACATCAGAAATATTGAAAAGTAGTGTTTCAGTTATTTATGAGTCCTTATCTCAAGTAGTTTGAATAGTACGTTATAAAACTGAGACTACAGAGTGAGGCTCTTACCTTATATTAGCAAAGTATCATAATCCTTCACTTTTGGATCTGCTTCCAGTGTTTTGTTCTTTGACACCTTGGTGTTATGAAAATAACTACTTACTTAGAGCTCCAGACAGCAGAGTTGCTCACATTTCCATCATCCTGTCTTCTCAGGTCAAAGGTCACTTCTGGGGTCTATCATGTTTTGTTTCTTTACTTAGCTTTCATTTTCATCTTTTCTGGCTGGTTCCTCTTTTAGATTATTATATGGTTTTCCACTAAGAATCAAAGAGAAGCACAGCTGTGTTCTTTGCTTCTTGGTCACAAACTGACTAATGGATATGCTTTGACAAGTGTGATGTGTTCCTTCTTGGTCTTTTAAGAAATTTTTTAAAATTCATTTTTGTTTTATATATATGGGTATTTTGCTTGCATGTATGTCTGTGTACTATATGCCTGCAGTACCTCTGGAGGCCAGAAGAAGGCATCTGACTCCCTCTTAGAACTGGAGTTACAGAGGGCTTTAGCCCCTCTGTTAACCCGTTTTTAACTCCTCTGTAACCACACCCAGTATGGATGCTGGAAATTGAACCTGAGTCTCTGGAAGAGCAGCCATCTCTCTAGCCCCAGTACTTGATTTTGAGATAATCATTTTGGACGGAAGCACTAGCAGCATTAACTTTATGCAGTAATTCACAGTGTGTCCTGAAAACTAAAATTTTGTCACTTAGAAACTACTGTTATTTAAGCTGTGGAAACTAAAATTGTATATATTTAAACAGTACAAAGTAAAGGCTGCTTGTATATATGCATTTTGACATCTTTTCTGAATCTCTATGAGCATGATCTGCCATGAGGAAGGAATTCGTTCAGTGAAGCTGTAAAAGAAAATAGAATATTTCTGCTTTTTAAATAGTTGAAAGTGTGTGTGTGTGTGTGTGTGTGTGTGTGTGTGTGTGTGTGTGTATAAACCAGAGGCTGACCTGTTCCTCAGTCACTTTCCACCTTGTTACCTTATTTTCTGAGATGGTGTCTCTCACTGAACCTGGAGCTCCCTGATTGTCATATTGGCTAGCCAGCAAGCTCCAGGGGTTCTGCTCTGACTTCCCAGTACTGGGATTACAGGTTCACTGCAGCATTGATGTTCATATAATTTCTGGCGATTGGAAGTCAGGCCCTTAGGCATGCCTAGCAAGCACTTGCCTGACTGAGCCATCTTCCTAGCCTTGCATGGATGCTTTTCTATATGTAGTTTTAGTCCTCCTGCTATAGTCTATGAGAAGTAAATTTCCATATTTTCAGGATACCATGTGCATATCTGAACATTTTTCTACATTATATTACAGGCTGACCTCTGTGTCCCTCGATTGAATGAAGGAGACCAAGTGGTACTGATCAATGGTCGGGACATTGCAGAACATACCCATGATCAAGTAGTCTTGTTTATTAAAGCTAGCTGTGAGAGACATTCTGGGGAACTCGTGCTTTTAGTTCGACCTAATGGTAAGTCCTCCATTTAGCCCTGAGTATTTGTCATAATTTGTTACTGTTTATTACTGGACATGGTAGCCAGAGGAGGTTTCTTTAAGCATGTCAAGCGAGTTCTTATTCAGATGACAGTGACATCTATCATTCTTGGAGAAAACAATCCAAAATCTTGGTTCTCTTATCTCCCATTCATACTATATTCACTTCTGTTGGCCCAGTGACTTTCGTACTGTTTCCCAAAAACTCCATCCAACCTGATATACTTTAGGCCTGTGTACTTGCTGTTTGCTCTGCTTAGTAAACAAGTCTTGATTTTTATGTAACTCATGTTCTTGCTTCATTCAGGAAGGCTTTCTCTGCTTATTCTACCATACCTAAAGTGGCTTTCCTCTTCAACCACTCTAGTAGTAGTGTTGTGTAGTCAGTGAATATTTGTTTGGTGAGTAAGTAAATCCCACCAGGTGGTGATAGCACGCACTTTAATCCTAGCACTCGGGAGGCAGAGGCAGACGGATCTCTGTGTGTTCTTGGTGAGTTCCAGGACAGCCAGGGCTACACAGAGAAACCCTCCCTTGGGGGGGGGGTATGGGGAGAAATCTGTTCTACTTCTAGAAAATTCCAATAGCAAGCTATAGTCAAAACAACAACAAGAACAACAAAGCAGTTTTAACTATATTTTCCGTAGCTGATGCCCTCTGGACTAGTCATGTCAAAGCCTCATCTGGACGTACTAGCATTATTGCATTTATAGTCATTGTGGCACTATCACAGTAGCCACGTTATGCAGGAAGCTGTGTCCACCAGCAGATATGCGAACAGCAGGAGACATGTACTTAATGTACAGACTTGTATTTTATAAGTTCAAATGTAGAAGAGCATATTTATTATAGTAGGAATGAATATAGGAGAGTGGTGCATATGATGGAAATCCATTGTATTCATGTGTGAGAACGTCACAGTGAGATGTATTTTAAAGAAAATAGATGAAGCAGACATTTTCTTTCCTCTTCTGTATTTTGTGTTCTTCTCCATGTGTAATCCTAGAATTGGCTTTCTAAGAATATTAAACAGGCATTAATAAACTATTCATTTTGAGGAACTTGTTTGTTTAAGCTTCATGCTATGTGTTTTCTGTCACAGCTTCAAGTTCGTGGAACAATACAATCTCTCAGTTTTGCCTTTTTGTTCTCAATAGCTCCTGTAGCTCTCCGTGACAACAATTAGTAGCTATTGAAAAGTTTTCTATCTAGGCTGTTGTCTAATGTTGTCACTTAATCATCAGAGCTAGCAAATATGATAGGTAAATTACTCTTAGCTTATAGTTGAAAATATTCTCAAACATTCAATTATCTGCCTACAGGTTCATGTTGGGCACAGAGCCAGAATATAAACAGAAGTCTCTATCATGGCAAAGGCCTTTTTGTAATTTGGGTTGTTTCTTTTATACTTTAAATTCCAAGAGGAACCCAGCTAAACCTTGTAAAGGATTCTAGACTGAGACCTCTGCTCATTTTCAATGTGGATTTATCATTTTTTTTTAATCCCAAGTATGTTACATGGTGTTTCCTAATCCAGCAAATTGGCTAAGAGGCAGTCTTTTGCAGAGAATAGACATACTTACATATAGATGGACTGTTCATGAGTGTGTTAATAGAGCCCATTCTAAAGAATAGAGTTAAGGAGCTGGAGATGGCTCAGCAATTAGGAGCATTTCCTGCTTTTACAAAGGTCTAGAGTTTTTTTTCCAACATCCACATGGTGGCTCATAATGGTTTGTAACTCCGGTTCCAAAGGCTCTGATGCCTTCTTCTGGTATCCATAGGCACCAGGCATGCACTCGGTGTGTGTGTATATATATATACACATTCAAGCAAAACACCCATACATGTAAAAACAACAAAAATCAAATTTTCTTTAAACTGGAGCTGAGACGGAGAAGTGAGGGTAAGTTGTAGGCCTGGCATTTATAGGTCCAACATCTGGAATCTGAACTCTCCTTATACTAACAGCGGATGAAGTGTATGTAGTGACTAAGTCAAGGAGAAAGTGTGGAACAAGTTTGTTTAGCTTTGTGTTCATTTTACATGTAACTTATCAGATGATAAAAGCCAACATACCCATACATATAATAGTGTACAGACTTTTGTTTGTACTATTAACCCGTGTCCTAGAAATTAAGGGGAGGTCTATTCAGATCTGCAGCTCAACACTGTCTCATTTTCTTTATTTTTGTAAAGATGTATTTGTGTGTGTGTGTGTGTGTGTGTGTGTGTGTGTGTGTGTGTGTGCTTGTACCGCGCGCACATCACATGGGCACCGGATACCAAGAATGTCAGAAGAGGATATCTATCCCTTGGGACTTATTAACGGGAGATTATGAGCTGCCATGTGGATGCTGGGAACTGGACCCAAATCCTCTGCAAGAGCAGCATGTCCTCTTAACCTCTCTAGTTTAGCCTCATTTTCTTAATGTCTCTTCAAATTTTAAGCATATGGCTAAAGAACCCTTCTTTTCACCAAAGGAATAGCAAAAGCCTTTCAACCCCACAGCTGTCCTTAGTTCCTACACAATGGCATCAGTTAGAGCCAGAGGAATTATTAATAACTGAATCTATAGAAAATAACTGGTAATTTCTTACTGAATTCTATTAAGAGTCTTGTGTATGTTTTTTGTTTTATTTTAGCTGTATATGATGTAGTGGAAGAAAAATTAGAAAGTGAGCCAGACTTCCAGTATATTCCCGAGAAAGCCCCATTAGATAGTGTCCATCAAGATGACCATTCCCTGCGAGAGTCAATGATCCAGCTAGCTGAGGGCCTTATCACTGGAACAGTACTGGCACAGTTTGATGTAAGTAATATCCTTGTATTAAATCAGTATGTGCTAATTAGTTTGAGCATGGTAAGAGCCTAACCTACTGTGTATTATGATTTATAAGGTAAAATGATAGCCTTAGAACTGGTTGACATTGAGTTCTAAAATGTAGTTTTTAAATTTATTACCATAATACTAATTATTCCTGAAAGAATGATAAATGGATCTGATGGTGGCGCTGGTTACTGGCGGAAAGGTCACTGTCACGACAGAACCCAGTTGCTTAGTAGTGGAGAGCTTTATTAGGAGGAGGGGGGAGCAGGAACAAAAAGACCAGGCCTGGGAAAGAACATGTATGGAGAGCAGAGAGAAAGATGGGGGAGGGCAGAGAGAGAGAGAGGTCTGCATCTGGCTTTGTAAGGGCTCCCAGTGAAGCGAGCTTATGGAGCTACATCATCCGTGCACTGACTGTGTGACTATGTCATGCGCACGTAGTCACCAACGTACACTGATGATGTAAGACGCAAGACCCTTTGCTTAACTCCTGAACTGTGCATGTGCAGTCATATAGCTGGAGTGAGGGCAGAATTCTAACAATGCCTATATAAATAAATGTCATTTTGAAAAAAGGATAAGAGCCAGGAATAGTGGCTTATACCTGTAAACTCGTCATTTGCAAACCTGAGGCAGGAAGATGTTCACGAGTTCAAGGTCAGTCCACAATGGTGAGTTTCTGGCCACCCTAAGCTATTGAGTGAGACCCCTCTCAAAATTTAAGAGAGTCCCTGTAATTTACTAGGTCTTTTATGAAAGGTAGTATATTGTATACTTAAAGCTTGAGCAAAATCAGGTGTGACAGCACAAATCATTTGCTGTTCTCACATCCACAGCAGTGGACTTTTCTATGAGCTTCGGGGCATCCCAGGCTACGTGTAATAAAGACCTCATCTCAAAAAATAAAATAAACAGCACTCTCAAGTTAAAGAAAAATCACTTTGGTGTTTCAAGTTGATATTTAGTCACATTTAGCCTTTCTCTAGTTTTGTCTGTACAGTATTAAAACCCCTCAGATCCTTATCTCAGAAGTACAAGAATGCTTCTTCACTGCTAACCTTTATTTTGATTAGTGAGTATATGGTGACTTTTGAATGTCTGTATTTAAACCAGACATGTCCAGCCTGTGGCCCACAAGCTATATACATCCAGATTAGTTATTTTATAAATCCAGTTCAACACATTTGTAGATGGCAGTATCTTTCATAGTGAACTTAATTTGTTTATCTTTACTAAAACTAGAAATTTTCCCATGGGTTTAAAAAAATGGCTATCATTATTTGTTGTTCTCTAGTATATGTTTTGTGTAAATGCTATAATAAAACATATAAGACGTGCATCTTTTTTTTCTTTTAAAAAAATCTCGGTTTTTATATTGTGAGTACTTCTAAACTAAAAGAAAGCTAAGTATTCTCTACAGATTTGCTATTCAAATATCAGGTACTTTGATGAACAAAATTATTTTCAGATTTTTCAGGATATCATAGATCTATAATGCATGTCAAAAGCTACAGAACTGACACAGTTCTGGGCTAGCACTCTTCTCTTTCAGAGGGTATCATAGTGTATGGGGGGTACAGTGTTTCCTGTTAGAATAGAAGCTAGTCTGCAAAAACAACAGAATTATTGATGACTTACTGGACTGTTTCTCATTTGTTTGTTTTTAAAGCAACTGTATCGGAAAAAACCTGGAATGACAATGTCTTGTGCCAAATTACCTCAGAACATTTCCAAAAATAGATACAGAGATATTTCGCCTTGTGAGTATCTTTTACTTCTTACCATCATTAAGCTTAATCTTTTAAATAAAACTTTATTAAAAATTTTTATGGCCAGAATATGGATCAGTGGTAGAGCATTGTGCTTAGCATGTGCCAGGCTTTGGTGGTTTATTCTAAAATATCAAAGCAAAAAAGGAATCCATTGTTTCTTTTAACATTTTTTAGATGATGCTACACGGGTCCTCTTAAAAGGTAATGAAGACTACATCAATGCAAACTATATAAATGTAAGTTTTTTGTTATGCTTTTGTTATTTGAAATAATTGAAACCATTGTAAATTTTAAGGTTAATTCCTTTTTATTGAAGGTCTAACTTTGATAGAATATTAAAACTTGAAGATATGGATATTTTATCAAATTAATGTTTTAAAAAGTAAGCCAAGGCTATTTGGTGGTGGCACACACTTTTAGTCCCAGCACTCAGGAGGCAAAGGTAGTTGGATCTCTGAGTTCAAGGCCAGCCTGGACTACAGAGTGAGTTTCCAGGTAGCCAATTCTACACAGAGAGACCCTGTCTTGGAAAACCAAAAAAAAAAAAAAGAAAGAAAGAAAGAAAATTAACGGTGTGGTGGCTCTAATCCCAGCATTCAGAAGGCAAGACTGGAGGCTCTCTGTAAGTTCAGTGCCAGCCTGAACACACAGAATGTTCCAGGTCAGGTCAGCCAGGGCCTCATGGATCCTTGTTCACCTCCCCCACTCAAAAACTTTAAAATAATGATGATAATGGAAAATTTTTATATTTTGATAAACTTAAGAGTACTAAGATTAAATGGCAGTCTGAATTTTTAAAATGCTGTCCAGTTAAAAATCTTACACATAGGCTGGGCCTTGTTAGCACACATGTAAAACCAGCACTTAAGAGGCTGGGTTAGAAGACTGCCAAGTTCATGACTAATGGGACTACAAAGCAAGACACCCTGTCTCAGTTAAAACAAAATGGATGTAAGGCAGGAGAGGAAATGTAAGCAACATTGAATCTTGTAAACTACATGGCTATTTTCAATGTCTATAAAAGTAGAGAGAATAGTAAGAAGAGTCCCTCGTATATCTGTCACGTAGCTTTAAAGTCTGTTAACAAGTGGCCAGTATTTTTTAAGTGATACCCTGTAGATTATTTTTTTAGCCAAAATATATTACTTTATGTACAGTTAATTCTCACTATTTGAGGTAGTCGTAGATTCTTTCTACCAGTTTGTACAAATGATGAACTAGGGAATTAGTGAATCATCATTTTAGGGTAAATAGAAAGTTAGGTTTTTATAAGTATATAGTCATATTTTCATCAGTTAATCAATACATAACTTCATTTAAAGACTTATTTAATATTAACATTGTTGATTTGTTAACTTTGAATGCATAGCCAACAGCATTGAAGTGTAACTCCTACTTGAAGAAAGCTAATCTATACTTTCTCCACGATGAATAATATCGTCATGGAGATCCTCTTGCACCTCAGAACACTAGACAGGACTTCATCATTGTGACTGTAAATGGTGCAGTTACCCACCATAAACACAGAAATGTGAAGTATATGGTACTGCACAGTACTGGCAGCTGCTTGTGGGCAGTATAAGAGGGGAACAAAACAGAGTTGCCTTATTTGATGTCAGCTGGAAACATGCTTATTCGGTGACTCAAATTGTTTGCTTCCCTGGTAGGCCTGCAAATGACCAGCAAATCTCTCCTCCTGTTTTGAAGTTACGTAGGAACTTTAGCAATGATGGGGTAGAGAGATGGCAAAGCAGTTAAGCTTGCTGTGCAACCATGAAGAGCAGAGTTAAGATTCGAACACCCACCCATAGAACAAGATAGGTGTCCTGTAACCCTGCTTCTGGGGTATCAGTTAGGAGGATTGTTGCGGCTTGCTGGCTTCCATCAAAAAATTCTAGACTCAAGCTCCAGGTGCAAGGAGAGACCCTCAAAGGAGCAGGAAGAGAGTGATACAAGATGACACACAACTCCTCCTTCTGGAGGAGATAATGACTTGTGAGACTTTTTTTTTTTTTTTAAACCAAAACTGGAGCTAGAGAGATGGCTCAGTGGTTAAGAGCACTGACTGCTCTTCCAGAGGACCTGAGTTCAATTCCCAGCACCTACATGGTGGCTCAAAACTGTCTGTAACTTCAGTTTCAGGGGATCTGACACCCTCACACAGACAGACAGACATGCATGCGGGCTTTTTTTTTTTTTCCAAAACAAAACCACAATACTAATATAAAACTTAGAAAAATAATATCAAACACAATTAAATTAAAGTATACTTGATTTTCACAACAAAGTACAAATTTAAACTGCATAGAAGTACTATTACTTACCTATGAAAGTGAAAGACCAAATATTTATGATAACATATGCAAGTCCAGTTCTTCATATGAAGCCTTAGAGTCAAGTATGCTTTGGGACTCAAAGTTTCTAGATTTTTTTTTTTTAAAGAATATTCAGTCCGTGTACCAATGCTATAGGAAATAATGTCCCTAGCGGGCTATAGGATAAGAACCCTGTAATTATTATATTGATATTATATAAATATTCTGAGTCAGAATAAAAATAACTTTTAGGTCAATCAAAGTCAGATTTTGCTGTCAGATGCTTTCAAGTGAGGTCAAGTTTAAAATGCCTTCAAGTCAAGACAAGGTTTAAAACACCAAAAGCAGTTTTGCATGTCAGACTATTGGTATTCTTAGAACTATAGATAAAGGATTATAGATATATTAATATTAGCAAGTATCAATGGAAATACATTCCTGTGTGTTTTTGGTTGAAGTGTAGGTTGGTAAAAATGCTCTGAAGAGCAGTATGGTATTGTCAGAATCTGAAATCTGCATACATTTTGATCCAGTATTCTCATTTCTTTCTGTTGCCCTTATAGATAGGCCTATTTTCACATTTGCTAAAAATGTCAAGTTTAGAAAAGTATTCAGTTTAACCTTGCTACTGCTAACAAACATATTGTTAATGTTTTTTTATGTCTTAAATTATGCCTTAAATTTCTTTTAAATAAATTACAGGCCTTTTTTTTTTTTAAGAAGGCCCATTAAAAGAAAGAAATTTAGGTACTAATTTTGGCATTATCTTTCAAACAATAGGACCATATATATATATATATATATATATATATATATATATATATATATATATATATATGTACAGTTAATTCTCACTATTTGAGGTAGTCGTAGATTCTTTCTACCAGTTTGTACAAATGATGAACTAGGGAATTAGTGAATCATCATTTTAGGGTAGCCTAAGTATATCATGTCAAAGCCTCATCTGGACGTACTAGCATTATTGCATTTATAGTCATTGTGGCACTATCACAGTAGCCACGTTATGCAGGAAGCTGTGTCCACCAGCAGATATGCGAACAGCAGGAGACATGTACTTAATGTACAGACTTGTATTTTATAAAATATATATATATATATATATTTTAAAAATAGTTTTACAGAAAAATAGGAAAATAGTTGTTGTGTACAGTCTGTCTATGTGAAAGATGTACTAGAAACTAGAAAACCAAATTACACTGATAATAACTGGAAGGTGGTTTGAGAGGGAGACTTCAAGTATACAACGTTTGGTATTTGCTGAATTGCTATGTGTAGATATTACCTTGTTAAAATCAACCTCAAATGTAGTTCAATTGTGATTCTCCAATATTTTTTTTGTCTTATTTCATTCTATAAATAATTTTAAACATCATTCTAATAGCTCTTCACGTTGTTTTATGAATATAATTGAGCTAAAATGCATTATTTTTTTCCTTAGGAAATTTACCAATAAACTATTTATAGATACTTTTAAAAAAATTCTTTGCAAACCCTCTGCCTCTAAAACAAGTTTCTCTGTAAACTACCCTTCAAGCCATAGTGGTGCCAGATATGACCATACAGTCCTGTAATACCTGGGATCCTGGGCTACATGTTGAGACTCTGTCTCCAAACAAAAAGTAGGGTTTTGGAAAATAATTTGTTTTTAAATTACTCTTTCCAACAATTGAATGATGAATATGTATGACTTTGGACATTGCCAGAAATTTCTTTTACAGATGAAATTATTAATGAAGATTATTGTATTAATCAGTTTATTGAAATAAGTTATGTTCAGTTTAACATTAATGGATGGTTCTCATCTTCCAAGTCATAGTAAAAGTCAAAATGCAAAAATTTTAATGTCTTTTTCTTTTTAGATGGAAATTCCTTCTTCAAGTATTATAAACCAGTACATTGCTTGTCAAGGGCCATTACCGCACACTTGTAAAGATTTTTGGCAAATGACTTGGGAACAAGGCTCCTCCATGGTTGTGATGTTGACCACACAAGTTGAACGTGGCAGAGTAAGTTGTAGTTGAATCTGACCCATTACTTGGGCTCTTTTCAAATTACATTGTGTTTATGGACTCAGAATATTCTTTTGTAGCCTTTAATCTTCTCTTGTGGTTCCATGATTTGAATTATTATAGCTAAATACTTCAGACTGTGCCTAACACCATACTTGTGATAGAAATGTTACAATTCTTATCATTGTATTTGTTTAAAATCATGTATATCCAAGAGGCCTGTTTATGGAATATGTAAAGATTCCTTACAATTTAACAGTTAAATGACAAGATCATTTAAAAACTTGTCAAAGGATCTAAATAGACAGTTGCCCAAGATGATACACTAATATCTGTTAGGCACGTAAGAAGATAACTGGATATCAAAAAGTAAATGTAAATCAAAATCACAGTGAGACACTACTTTATATACAGTAGACTGATTCGAATTAAAGGGAGGCAGATAATGGCAAGTGTTGGTGAGAGAGTGGAGAAAGTGCAGCACTGCTCTGCTTACAGATTGAAAAGTGAAACATGGTATTTCTGTAAGTCATCAATTTCAGTACTATATATACTCAAGGAATCGAAGAGATGTCCATGCCTTCCCAACATTAGCCATGAAATGGAGATTCACATATTCTAAATCAAATGTAATATGTTCAAATTACTGAAGAATATTTGGTAATAGTAATAACTGAAGTATTGATACTAGAATTGGGGTGAGTCTGGAGAACATTATACTAAGTGAAAAGTTCTAACAACAAAAATTATTGTATGATTCTACTTTTATGAAGCATCCAGGATTGGCTGTTCCATAAGTATAAAAAGTAGATTAGTAGATGGCTAAGTCCATGTTTGAGAAAGAGGATGGAATGGAATAGAATGCACAGCAACTACTAATAAGTATGGGGTTTAGGGTATGGTGAAAATGTTCTAAAAGTGGTGAGGGTAATGGTTGCACAGTTCTTTGAAGTGCACTAAAAGCAATTGCACTTTAAGTGGGTGAGCTATATGATAATAAGGCTGTGATTATATAGTACAGACCACACATGTGCACACACACCTGTGGTAAAACTCTATCGGAATATAGCCAAACAGGATTGTAAAATGTGAATAATGACTGGGCAAGATGGCTAAGTCTGTAAAGTGCCTGCCATGCAAGCATGGGGACCTGAGTTCAGATCTCCGGCACCGATGGAACAGTTAGGTACGATAGATGTATTTGTAGCCCTAGAGCTGGAGGGGCAGGGTAAAGACAGACAAATCCCTGAGCTCATTGTCCAACCAGCTCGTCTAGCCAAATTGGATGCACTCCAAGTACAGTGACAGACCCTTTCTCCAGAAAAGTTACAGAGCGATGGAGGACACCCATTTGTGCACATGCACACTCATATATGTGCACACACATTCATACAATATCAAATGCACACATTAAAAACATTAGTAGTTGGAAGATCTAAGTGAAAGGTGTATTTTCTGTAAATTTGGAAGTTCTTAAAAATTAAAATACTTGAAAAGTTGGAGAATTTAAATTCCTACACCTAAAAATGTAATTTTGTGTATTTGATCCTGTTGATAATCAGGTTAAATGTCACCAGTATTGGCCAGAACCCACAGGAAGCTCATCCTATGGATGCTATCAAGTCACCTGCCACTCTGAGGAAGGAAATCCTGCCTATATCTTCAGGAAGATGACACTGTTTAACCAAGAGGTAAGAAGTCAAGAGTGTCTGTTCAGAAGAACTGATATAAAGACTTTGAAAGCCACAAATGTTTTTAGTTTGAGTAATAGATACCAGGAAACAAGAATTACTCAACTGTTGGCTAGAAAAATGGTTCAGCAGTTAAGAACACTTGCTGCACAGTCTTCAGGACCAGAGTTCAGATTCTAGCACTGATATAACAAGCTGGGCATAACTGCAAGTGCCAGTAACCCCAGCTCTGAGAAATCAGAGACAGAAGGATCCCTGGGGCTTTCTGGGTTCCACCATAGCTATGAGCAAGGGCCAGGTTCAGGGAGAGACCCTATTCGAAAGGAATGATTCTTCATACATTCACATAGACACATACACACATAAAAGTAAGTATCAACTGTTTGCTTTAATGGGGTAATTTGAATTACATAAATATTACTGTTCTGTATTATCATAAATGTATTTTCCACTTTTAGTGGTAAATGTGATAATCAGTTAATTGGGAGTTTGGCAAATATTATTAGTTACTAGTTTGCTTATTCATAACATTTGCTTATAAAAAATTTTAGTGTGTTGAGGCTGGAGAGATGGCTCAGAGGTTAAGAGCACAATTCCCAGCACCTACATGGTGGCTCACAACTATCAATAATGAGATCTGGTGCCCTCTTCTGACATACAGGCAAACTTGCAGAAAGAACAGTGTTTATATAATAAATAAGATAAATCTTAAAAAATTTAGTGCAATCAGTATTAGATTTGGATATTCCTGGGGCAATAGGTAAAGCTGTTAAAAGATGTCAAGTTGTTTTCCCTCTTTTCCAGTAGTAGAGAAGAGCAACATCACAATCTTGGTGATATGGGGAAGCAAAAGTCGCAGGCAGGGTCTTTGACAGCAAGCCCATTGCAGCTTTCTGACTGCCAGCTCATCTTAGTTCCACCACAGTCATTCCTCCTGGCTTCCAGTGCCAAAAGCAAACCCTGATTAATGAGTCACGGCTTGGTCCCCTAGTTGGAATATATATATGTAAAGGACATCATGCTGCTAGTCATGGCAGGCTCTCGAGACAGTCTGCTTCAGATTCATGGCCCGTAATTCATTCTTTCCCTGACAGCTGCCCATCATTTTGTGTCACTTTGTTTTTGAAACAGGGTATTACTACATAGACCTGGCTGGCCAGAAACTCATGCTGCCTCTCCTCCCAAGTGCTGGAATTTAATGTTTGCACCACCACACCCAGCAACACTGCCTGTCATTCTAAAGGGGGCCAAACTGCAGCACAGGCTGTGACGGCCCAGCCTTTTCCATCAGCAGTTAAACCCTTGAAAGTGGGAAGCACCTCTCCTCCAAGGGTGTGATGGTGACAAGTGAGGTAGAGCCTGTCTCACAGTAGAAGGAAGGAAGCAGGAAGCTGACACTGAGGGAAGCCAAAGTTATGGGGGAAAGTGACAGTCCATTCAAATAAGAGTCAGTTAAGTGTTTGGTGGCATACTGTGTGATCTGTAGGTTGAACCATTAAGATAGTTCTTCATTTTCATCTTTATTTTCTCAAGTAGATAACCGGGAGGGAGGGAGGGAGGTGTGTGTGTGTGTGTGTGTGTGTGTGTGTGTGTGTGTGTGTGTGTGCGCGCGCTCGCGCGCGTGTGCATATATGTTGTGTGTGTGTGTGTGTGTTTGTATGTAATGATGTCTGTCTTCAATGTCCTTTTTTTAGAGTCTATCTATAATTAGCCATGGCATTTTTATTTGTATATGCTGAGTATCTTAGAACTTGCAAAGATAAATTAATTTTAAAGTTTGAGCCAAATATAATCGAAGAAGAAATTTTCTACCAATATAAATGCATATACATTGATAGACAACAGACAGGTAGGTACTACTCCCAAAATTTGATTAACTTTTACTTCCATGTTCTCCCTTGAATGGAAATGGCATCCCCAGATTGAATGATGCTGAATGATAGTTACGTGTTTGAAAGTGTGTGAATAAGTAGTTCGATTGTATTTAGTCTTTCCATAAAGCCTTGTCAACCTAAAGGTGGTCCTGTAGAGCAGTAGATGTCATTTCATTTTTCACGTGAACGAAGGAAGCTCTGAAATCTTAAATGCCGTAACTGGCAGAGTCGAGATTTGAGCCAAGTTTCTCTATTAGTTCCCTCTAGCATTGCTCCCTCCCTCACCAAGTAGAATTAATCCTTTCTCAACTTGGTGTTTTTATTACATCTCATTTCTAATCTATGTGTATTGGGAGTTTTTATTTAAAAATGTATCACACTTGTGTGTGTGCAAGTGCTTGTGCTTTTGTCGTGGTGCACCTGGGGAGGGAAGACAACTTTTAGCATCTGGTCTCTTTTCCACCACGGGAGTCTCAGGGTTTGGACCCAGCTCCTCATTCTTGGCCACAGCATCTTAACTGCTGAGCCATTTCACTCTCCTGGGGCTTCCCCCTCTAGTCTTGATAATTGCACTTGCCTCATGTGAAGATTATCTCAGTTTTTGTTCATACTCACACGGAGGTTTTTACTTTACCGTCTTTGCTCACCTGGAATCTCTTTAGGTAACCCTTTAAGTAGTTCTCTGACCTTAATTTATTTCTGCCTATTGATTTGACTGCCGTGTTCAAAATTCTTAATAGATACAGAAGCTGAGTTAGAAAAGTGTAGTAATATGACAGGCAGTGGTGGCGCACACCTTTAATCCCAGCACTCAGGAGGCAGAGGCAGGTGGATCTTTTGTGAGTTCAAGGCCAGCCTGGTCTACAGAGCGAGATCCAGGACAGCCAGGACTGTTACACAGAGAAAACCTGTCTTGAAAAACAAAAAAAAACAAACAAACAAAAAAAGTAATATAAATTACTGGTCCTCAAAAGGATACAACTATTTCTTTGAAATATTGGATTTTAGTGAGTTTATACACTATGACAAGAGGAAAAGGGAAGGTGGTTTTTGCTTTCCTTCTAAAATTAAAACAGCATGACTGTTTATACTTTAAAGGGAATTCCTATGTCAAAATGTGTACCTTTTCATTCTCATTTAGAAAAATGAGAGTCGTCAACTCACTCAGATCCAGTACACAGCCTGGCCTGACCACGGAGTACCTGATGACTCCAGTGACTTTCTGGACTTCGTTTGTCATGTGCGGAACAAGAGGGCTGGGAAGGAAGAGCCGGTTGTTGTTCATTGCAGGTACTTGATTTCCTGTCCTTAGGAAGTGACTGACTGGCTGCTAGGGGAGTACCTACTGTACTTTGGCCTTTTATTGTGATTAATACTGTAGTATTTAGAGCCAAAGTGTGCTCTGAAGGTGGAAGACAAAGGAAATATTGTAATATAACAGTGTTAGAAATTATGGAAAGGGAAAAAATAGCTATTTTTTAGTTCTTTTCCTGTTTTAATATCTCTGAAATTGGAATTGTCTTACAATTGATTGTAACTTAGATCTGATGAAGTACTTCCTTTATCTTCATGTGTTTGTGTTGGTATAACAAGATATTCAAAACTGTAATTTATAAAAGCACTTGTGTAGTTTTCAGTTTTAGACTGCGAGACTAAGTGTGGCCAGCAGAGGCCCCTGGCACACAAACAAGGGGAGCTAATAAAGTGAACTTAGATAGCCTGTGGGCCTCTGGAGCTTCGCCAGTATGGAAAGTGTCAGATCCAACTGGTCGTCTTTTTTTTTTTTTTTTTTTTTTTTTTTTGCCCTTGGGCTTCCTCTAGATTTTTTTTCACTACTGTATTTTTGGTGATATTTTTAACTTTATCTTACTGTTTTCTCTTATTATTTTAACATTTTTGAGATGAGGTCTCATGTAACCTATGCTGGTCTTGTACCTTTTTTATAACTGAACCCTTCACCTCCCCAGTTCTGGGATTTACATGTGTACTCCCATCCCTGCCTTTAAAAAAAAAAGCCTTATGTTTTTATTTTTTTAATTCCCTTTCTTAGGTCCATCTGTTTATGTTTTTCACTATTCAGCAAGCTTTTTTCTTTTTTTGTTTTTAATCTTCTGTTTTTACCTCTCCCCTTTTATAACTTGTCTTTATTCTTCTTTTTCCTTTTATTTAACTTTTTTTTTGCATCTGTTTTCTCTCCTTTCCTGGCTTTTTCCTTCATCTCATTCATTACTACTAATTCCATGTTTGCTCTAAATAATTTTTGACTTCACAGTATACTTTCCATTAGTTTTGCCATTTTCTCTTCTTTGATCATTGATGGTATATTATGGACTTTGATCAATTTTGTTTGTTTGTTTTTGTTTTTTGAGACAAGGTTTCTCTGTGTAGCAATGGCTGTCCTAGAACTTGCTGTCTAGACCAGGCTGACCTTGAACTCAGAGGTCTGCCTGCCTCTGCCTCCCGAGTGCTGAATTAAATGCGTGCACCACTACTGCCCAGCTGGGCTTTTGTCAATTTTAACTGTACAACATACAGTGTGGTGTTACTATTGATAAACCAATTTGTTTCCATCTCCCTTAGTGGTATTGGGGGTCTAGCCTGCAAGAGTAGGCTGCTCACTAAGCAGACCCCCAAAGAAAACTGGAGTGAAAATCCACACCAATGGAAGCACCAATTAGAACATAGAAATACTCCTCCATTACTGAATTCAAAAATATTAAGACAGAGAAGATGGTGGGTGAATTTGCTGGGCGCTGGTGACACACGCACGTCTTTAATCCCAGCACTTAGGAGGCAGAGGCAGGCAGATCTCAAAAAAAAAAAAAAAAAACAACCAAAAAAGGTTGGGTGAATTCAAATGTTTTCCTATATAAACATATGAATGAACTAAGGATTTCATATCAGGACTTGGAAAGAAAGCTGTCAACACAGGAGAAAGTAAGCAAAGTGGATGGAAAAGTTAATGTGCACATGACTGAGGTATTCATCAAAGGAACTGAGGTTAATCAAACAAACAGAAATGGTGAAAATGAAAAACCCAGTAGAGCAAATGTGTAAAGAGAATATTGAATTCAGAAAGAATCACCCACAGACTAGACGAAGCAACAACAATAAAAGAAGAGCAGGATTGCGGACACGTGAAGACTGCTGTACAAACATGATGGCCTGAAAGAAAGTGAGCAGAAAGGCCCACCCACAACTTTCCAACCCCGTAAGATGTGATCAAGAGACAGAACCTAGCCAGGCGGTGGTGGCGCATGCCTTTAATCCCAGCACTCAGGAGGCAGAGGCCTGTGGATCTCTGTGAGTTCGAGGCCAGCCTGGGCTACCAAGTGAGTTCCAGGAAAGGCGCAAAGCTACACAGAGAAACCCTGTCTCAGAAAAAAAAAAAGAAAAAAGAAAAGAAAAAAAAAGAGACAGAACCTAGGAATCCCTGGTGTGGAAGGAGTCAACATAACAGCTAATGGCCTAGAACATCTATTCAATGAAAGTCTAGTAGTTTTCCAAATCTATGGAAGAAATAAACATCTAAGCCCAAGAGGTATTTAGAACCCCAAATTGCATGACTAGGCAAGAACCTCTCCATGGTACAATGTACTCAGAATGCCAAACGATAAAACACACAACAATATTAAAAAAACTCTAAGAGAGCATAGTGGATACAGATACAGACACAGGGATCTTTGTGAGTTTAAGGCCAGCCAGGACTACATAGTGAGCCCTTTCTCAAACAAAATAAAGCAAACTGTAGGTAAAAAAAACAGCAATTCACTTATAAAGGCAAGCATAGGAACTGGAGAGACGGCTCAGCAGTTAAGAACACCGGCTGCTCTTGCAGAGGACTAGATTTGATTCCCAGCACCTACGCCGTGGCTCATAACTGTCGGTAAGCCTAGTTCCAGAGGATTTGATGCCTTCTTCTGACTTCCTTGGGCCAGGAATGCATATGATGCACACACATAATACATATACATATACCTCTTTATATATAATTCATATATAAATCTGAAAAGCATGGTTGAGATAGTAAATGGTTTGGGGCAGAGTGGGGAGGAGGCAAGCACACCAGACCTTGCAACAGAAATTTTAAGAGCCAGAAAAGCATAGAATGCTGTATTTCAATCCCTGGAAGTGAATAACCAATAAAACTGCTATATCCAACAAAGCTACCTTTTAATATGAACAGAAATAAGGACATTTCAACACTAAAACAGTTCATGACCACTAAGCATTGCAAAAGATACTTAAAGGAATTCTAAAAACAGGGGAGTAGGAAAGATAGATTCAATCAAGAGAACACAGGAAAGAGTAAGTTTCATGAGAGGACTAAATGAACAAAGGATACCTAAACCCATCATACCATGTTCAACATAGTAAGACAGTGAAATTCCTAATGCAGACAGAGAAAGGGAAAAGAGCAACATTAGTCTAACCAACCACAACAACAACCAGCAAAGTGAGGCTGAAGGGAAAGAAAAGAGAAGAGAAGAAGACAGACTGAGGAGAGGAAAGACAAAAGAAGCGTGCCCCCAACATCATAACGACTACCTACAACACACCGGAGCCAACATTCTACTAACTGCAGAAAACCTGAACACGTCTCCTCTAGTCAGGAACAACTCACCTAGTCAGTGTAGCGCCATATACTTGGGCCAGTGTAATCTCAAAATGTTAGCTAGACTAATAAGACAAGAGAACAAAAACATAGAAATAATGAAGGGAAAAAGTTAGATTAGCCCTAATTTCTGGTCACATGATCCAATTTTTGAGAGACCTTAAAGATTCCATGAAAAATTTAACTCTGAAAAACACTTAGTAAAGTAACAGGATTAAAAAAAAAATGAGCATACAAAAACTAGGTTAGCTTTCATATATATCAGTAACAAATTTGTCAACAAAGAATTTGGGGCAGGGGAGTTCCATTGACAAAAGCTTCAATAAATAAAAGACCTAAGAATAAACATAATTAAGGACATTAAAGGCTTCTCCAATAAAACTGTTTAAATCCTGGAGAAAGTGATTGAAGACCCTGAAAGTTGAACAGACTTCCCATACTCATGGAGTGCCAGAGTAATTGTAAAAATGTCTGTGCTGCTAAAAGTAACTTACTGACTGAACATAATCCTGGTCAAAATTCTAGTGACATTCTCCACAGAACTGGAGCAGATGATCCTAAAACTCACATGATCCAAATAGCACACACACACACCCACATCAGAAGCAGAGTACATCACAATCCCTGATCTCAAGTTATACTATATTGCTATAGTGGCAAAACCAGTGGAATACTGGCATGAAGCAGACATGGAGACCAGTGAACTAGAATAGTGGACCCAGAAGTAAATGCACACAGTTACTTCTACCATTTTACAAGATTGAGACATACTTTTTTCTTTGGTAGTATCGGTCTCTTGTTAATCACAAATTATTCTTCAGCCCCAGCTGACAAGAAACAGCCAATTTTTTTTTTTTTTTTTTTTTTTTTTTTCGAGACAGGGTTCCTCTGTGTAGCTTTGTGCCTTTCCTGGATCTCACTCTGTAGCCCAGGCTGGCCTCCAACTCACAGAGATCCGCCTGGCTCTGCCTCCAGAGTGCTGGGATTAAAGGCGTGTGCCACCACCAATTGGCTGAAACAGCCAATTCTTAATTCAAAAATATCATATAAACAGCTCTGATAGGCTGCTTTTGAGAGTCTCCAATTCCCTCTGAAACTTCCCAAGTCAGGCCTCCATCATCTTGTTGCTCTTAGCATTATCTTCCAACAACTCATTAAGCTCCAAATACTCAATGACTTTTCCAGGTCAAAGCTCCAAATTTCCGACCTTTCTCCCATAAAATATCCCAAAGCATAAAAGCTACGTAGGCCTATCACAGCACGGCCTCGGTCTTAGACCAGTCTCTGCCCTATTTTAATTTTCTTCTGCTGTGATCAAACTCTGACCAAAAGCAACTTGGGAAGGAAAGGATTGACTTTACCTTAATAGTTGACTTTCCATTGTGGAGAAAAGTCGGGTCAGGACTCACCACAGAAACCTAGAGGCAGAAACTGAAGAACTACCGCAGTGGGTACTCCCTTGCGTCTACTGACTTCCTCATCTACTTTTCTTACATAGCCTGGGTACACCTGCCAAGGACACTGCTCACAGTAGTCTGGACCCTCCTATATCAATCAGCAATTAAGAAAACGTACCCCTCAACACATGCCCACAGGCCAGGCCAGTGGAGGCAGTTCCTCAATTGAAGTTTCTTCCTAGGTGACTCTCGTTCCTATTGAACTGATAAAAAGTAACCAGCCACACATATATTAGAGAAAAGACAACCTCCTCAATACATGGTGCTGGAAAAACTGGATGTCCACTTGTAAAAGAATGAAACTAGATTCATACTTCTCACTTTGCATAAATATCAATTTAAAATGGATCGGAAAACCTTAATAATCTGAAACTCCTAGAGGAAAGCGTAGGTCAACATTTCATGGCACAAGCAGGAACTTTCTGAAAAAGAGTAATAGCTCTGGAAGTAATGGCGAGAACCAACAAATGGAATTGAATCAGATTTTAAAGCTTCTGCACAACAAAAGAAATAATCCGTGGGGTGAAGAGATGCTCTTTGCCAACTGGAGATCTGCCAGGATTACTATCTAGAAAGATCAAAAACAAAATATCTATTCAGAAGCTAACAGTTCTCAAAAGAAGAAATAAAAATAGCCAATGAATGTATGAAAAAATGTTCAACATCCTTTAGTTACTAAGGAAATAGAAGTTAAAACTAGTTTGACATTCCATCTCATTCCACTCAGAACGGTCATCATCAAGAAAATATATAATGGTGAGGATGTGGAGAAAGATGAACCCTCATTCACTGCTTCTGAGACTATAGATTGCTCCAGCCTCTGTGGACATCAGTATGTAGGTTCCTCAAATATTAACTATCATATATACCATTGTTGAGTATATACTTGAAGCACCAGCGCACGTCAACACACAACAGAGATGTCTGTATTTATTGCTGTACTGTTTACAATAACACAGATATGGAACCAGTCTAAATGCCCAACAATAGATGAATGAATGAGGAAATGTGGTGCGTATGAACAATGAATTCAGTGGAAAGAAGAATGAAAATGCCATTTATAAGAAAGTTGATAGAACTGCAGATGATCATATTAATTAAAGTAAGCCAGGTTTAGAAAGACAGATTTTGAATGTTTTTGCTGATATTTACTGTAAGAAGAATACATAAGACATGCAGGTAAGAAGGGGACTACAAGGATGAAGGGAAAAATGGAAGGGAAGAGGGAGAGTTAATGGGAAAGATAGAATGTTCCATGTTTTTATCATAGAGAATCTAGATTTAAATATATATATTTAAATATATATAAATATATATTTATATATGTAAATATATATTTATATATATTTAAATATGAGACAGGAAAGCAAAAAAGGTACTGATGGTAGAGGGAGACCATGAGGAGTGTAGTGGGAGGAGGTTAAATGTGAGCAAAGTATCATGTTATGCATGGAAAATGTCATGAAACCCATCATTTTGAGTTCTAACTAAAAAAAAAAAAAAATTAAGAGGCCAATGTCGGGGCTGGAGTGATGATGGCTCAGTAGTTAAGAGTACTTGTTGTTTGTCAGAGGACCAGGGTTCAGTACCCAGCACTCACATGGTGACTATCAACCATCTGTAACTCCTGTTGCTGGGGATGTCACCACCTTCTGACCTCTGTGGGCACCAGGCACATACACTTGGTGCACATGAACCTGGGGCACTTGCATACGTGCAGGCAAAACACTCATGCACATAAAAATAAAATAGTTCTTTAAAAAACAAGTAAGATGCAGCGTCAAGAATGGTGAGGTGTTGTGGCTTCGTTATAGTAAAGAAATCTTCAGTAGGTACCATAGTTATGCTTATAGATTATGTCTTGGGCGGTTTTTTTTTAAGTATCTCAATGGTAAGTTTGATATAAATTAACTATGTTTAAAACATTACCTTATAAACCATAATTGTCATTTATGTATTTGTTAATGATATATTATTTTAGATCTACTTTGCATTTTAAAATGGTTTAAAATATTTAACAATTGACTTGCTCACTCTATGAAATAAAACCTTAAAATGAAATTGTTTTTCTTTGTTGTGATTTGATACTTTAATATTTCTGCAGAAAAGCCACAAGTTTAACAATTGCACAACTGAAACTTTGCATATCTCTCTCTCTTTTTGTTTTAGTGCTGGAATTGGAAGGACTGGGGTTCTTATTACTATGGAAACTGCCATGTGTCTCATTGAATGCAATCAGCCAATTTATCCACTAGATATTGTAAGAACAATGAGAGATCAAAGAGCCATGATGATCCAAACACCTGTAAGCACTATTCTTCATATGTACATGTATCTCCTAAACATGGTGGATCTTGTTATAACCTTCATTCTCTATCTTTTTTTCTTACACACAGACAAACACACTTATATATGACAGTGTCCTACTATGTAGCCAGGCCGCCTACAACTCACTATGTACCCCCAGGCTGGGCTCCAAATCCTCAGCCTCCTGACAAGTGTACATGCCATAGAGTGTACCTCTGAATTATACTTTATCTTTTTAATTCTTTCAGAAGCTAATATTTCATATTATAATAGTCACCACCACTTGGTATTAGACATAACAATACAGTGGAAGGCTGCCATGTTCATCCTTTTAGGTGTCATCTCTGTTTGCATTTTTGTTTGTTGTTTTGTTTTTTTCGAGACAGGGTTTCTCTGTGTAGCTTTGTGCCTTTCCCGGAACTCACTCTGTAGCCCAGGCTGGCCTCGAACTCACAGAGATCCGCCTGGCTCTACCTCCCATGCTGGGATTAAAGGTGTATGCCACCACCTCCCAGCTCTGTTTGCTTTTTATGCTGCAACAGAAGCAGATACCTATGGCCTACAATGTCTGAAATACTTATTATCTAGCCTTTGACAGAGACAGCTTTACCAACATGTAGATGGCTTAGCATGGTAACTCTTTTGAGTGTTTTCCTCATGGAATGCTGTCAGTGAGAGCATCCCTAAACTGGAAAGTCTTTGGTTTCTCGAGACAGGGTTTCTTTGTGTAGCTTTGACTGTCTTGGAACTCACTCTGTAGACCAGGCTGGCCTCAAACTCACAGAGTTCTCTGTCTCTGCCTCCCAAGTGCTGGGATTCAAGGTATGTGCCATCACCACCAGGCTAAACTGAAGAGTCTTAGTAGGACTTCGTTTGGGACCATAGCTGTGTTGGAAAGCCTTTCTTTTTCCTAGGAACTTAAACTGCATAACAACGACAAAATTCCTAGAAATTAAGCTGCTTATCCCTTGTATTCTCCACTGACTTTTCATTCTGCGTTAGAAATCAACAGAATCAAGAAACTTTAGAATTAGTGTTAAGATTGGTTTTTGTATTAATTAAACCAAAGTGAGATGTTGGCATTGTTAGTGGCAACAAGTTTACTTGGTGCTGTCTAGCCTAAGCACTCTAAAAGTGACTGTCATTTTCTAAGCTTCTAAATACAGAAAATCTCAAACTTACTCAAAAGTTGACATTGTAGTATAATAAAAACATTATAAATATCAAACATTTGCCAACTCATTTTATTTATTACACTCTCAATTTCTAATTATTTAAAACAAATCTTGGATGTCAGAAATATTTTAATATGTATCTAAAAGATAAGAATTGTATTTTTCTTTAAAAAATACCATTATCTCACCTAAATATAATTATAATTTCTTAATATTATCAAATAGTGTTCAGTTTTTCAGTTTCATAAAAACCTCACTTGTGAAATTTAAAACAACTTTATTATACAATTCACATGCCATAAATTTACCCTTTTAAAGCTTTACTTCAGTGGTTTTTCAGTACGTCGCAGAGGTTTGCCATCATCTCAATTTTTAGAACATTTTCATCATCCTATTAAGAATCTCCTTACTCATTAAGCACCTATTCCCATTTTTTCCTGATACCCTCCTTAACTATCCCTTAGCCCCAGGCTAAGCAAATAGGAATCAGTTAATGTATACTCTAATGTATATCAGCACTTCATTCCTTTTATTACTGACTAATTTTTCATTATATGGGTCTAGCACATTTTGTGTATTTCTCTATTGATAGATGAATGTTTAGATTGACACTGTTCCGTGAGCATTTATGTTCCATATGTTCTTATTCTGTTGGGTGTACTCAGGAGTAGAGCTGCTGGGTCAGTGAGCTAGGACACATCTGACCACTGAGCTTCATCCTCAGTCAAAGGCAACATTTTATATCCAATAGTGGAAAATAAGGGTTCCATGTCCTTAACATCATCAACATTTACCTTGTTTAAAAGAGAGTTTGTTTTGTATATGAATATGAAGTGTTATTGTGACTTTGATTTGCATTTTCTTAATAGCAATGTCAAGTGTCTTTTCTGTAAAAATTGTTTTGCTCATTTTTATTTGTCATTTTGTTGGATTTATATTTTCTAGATACAAATCTTACATGAAATCTATGTTTTCAAACACTTTCTTTCTTTTTGTTTCTTTTCTGTTTTTAAAATGGTCCCATTTATTTCATGTGTGCTACTTGTGTGTGGATGGGTATGTGCATGCAATGGCTCACCTGTAAAAGTCGGGGGTCTACTTACAGAAGTAGGTTCTCTTTTCCTCCTTGTGCATCCCAGGGACCAAACTTGGGTTATCTAGCTTGCTGGCTCTTTTGTGGGGGAGTTTTGTTGTTGTTTTGTTTTGTTTTATTTTACTTTGTTTTTCCTTAATGGTGTCATTTAAGACCCAAGTTTAGGTGAGGAATTAAGTACCCAACACCACATAAATAAATAACCAAATGTTTTCAACTCTAATGAAGTCTGGTATATTTTTTGATTTTTCATTGTAGAGGTCCTTGGTTAGGTTTATTCCTAGATATTTTATGTTCTTTGAGGCTCTTGTGAGTAGGCCGTGCCCATGATCTCTTTCTCAGCATGTTTGTTGGTGGGCTCTAGGTTTTTCTCTCAGAAAACCAACTCTTAGATTCAGTGATTCTTTGTATTATTTTGTTTCTATTTCATGATTTTCTACTCTGATTTTTATTATTTCTTGCCATATACTAGATCTGAATTTGTTTTGTTCTCATTTATACAAGTTCTTGAGCTGCACATCATTAGTCATTAATTAATTTGTGCTCTGTCTGACATTTAATGTAGGTGCTTGTAGCTATAAATCTTCTTTATAGGCCTGCTTTTAATGAGACCCAGAGGTTTTAATAGTTTGTGTTTTCATTTTCATTTAGTTCCAGGGATTTTAAAATGTCTTTCTGACTTCTTCTTTGCCCCAGGTGTCATTCAGTGGTTTGATCTCCATGAGTTAGTGTGCTTAGGAGAGATTTGTTTACTGTCAGTGAGGTTTATCGCATGAAAAGTCAGATAGGATGCATGGAATTCTTTCAGGTTTTTTAATTTGTTAAGATTTGTTTTGTGTTCCAGGATAGTCTATTCTAGAGAAACTTTCATGGGCTGTAGAATAGAATATATATTCTTTAGTATTTGGTGGTATATTCTGTAGTTAGCTGTTAAGTCCATTTGATGTATGATGTTATTTAATTCTGATGTTTATTTTTTCACCAGATGACCTGTCTATTGGAGAAAGTGTGGCATTAAACTCACCTAATATTAATAGGTTGATATTAATCTGTGTATTACACTTTTTATGAAGTTGAATTTTATGAGTTTGGTGCAATTATGTTGAGGATTGTAATGTCTTCTTGGTTAATTGTTCCCTTTAGAATGAAGTATCCTTCATCTCTTCTGGTTAGTTTTAAAGTCTGTCTTGTCATGTATTAGGATAGCAATGCCTGCTTGCTTCCTGGTCCCACTGCTTGGAATTCTTTCCATCCTTTTATTTTAAAGTGGTACTTATCTTTAAAGCCAAGGTAAGTTTCTTATAGACAGCCAAGGATAGATTTTTGTGTCTGTTGATTGGAAAGTTGAGGCTATTGATATTTCAAGTTGTTATTGAAAGGTGTGTATTGATTGCAGTCATTTAATTTATTTATTTATTTAGCTGTTTGTATTGTTAGTTGTACCTTGTGATTCAGGAATTATAGCTTTGTTTGTTTCCTTTCTTTGGTCTCTTTCTTTCTATGCTTACTTCTTTCTTTAGGCCTAAGTATTGCTTCCAGTATTCTCTTTAGGGCTGGTTTGTTGAACACAAATTCTTTGCCTATTTGTATCATGGAAAGTTTTTCTTTCTCTTTCAACTTTAGCTGACAGTTTTGCTGGTTTCCACTGAAAAATAATCTATTATTCTTTATATGTGGCTTGTATTTTTTCTCTCGTGGCTTTTTGTACTTTTTTCTTTATGTTTTGATCCATTCCATTTGTAAGGCCTTCTGACTTTTCTAATTGGGTTACTAAGTTTTCCAATTCCAACTTCATTCCAGTTTGAGTTCTCTTTAATATTTCCCTTAATTGAACCTTAGTTTTCCAACCCTGTATATTATCTTGGTTCATTCAGCCTTATTTGTATTTTTCTTGTGCAACACTCAGGCATTTATTCTCTTTAAGTTTATTTTCTTCAGGTTCATTGAGTTATTTCATCGTATCTTCTTTTATTTTGTTTTGTTTTGTCGTGTGTCGTCCCCACCACCACACACACACACACACACACACACACACACACACACACACACACACACACAGGGTTTTCTCTGTGTGATAGCCCTGGCTGTTCTGGATCTTGCTCTGTAGACCAGGCTGGCCTCCAAAGTGCTGGGATTAAAGATGTTTGCCACCACACCTGACCTATGATTGTTCTTTTAAGTTCTGGGTCCTGGGCTTCATCTAGGTAATTCTCATTAGACATTATAGGACTAATCTATAGGACTGCTATATTTTGGCAGGGACTGATAGACTTTGTCTTGGGTTTTCATTTTGCTTTCATATTTATGAATTTTCAGAACTTTACAGAATTTTCACTTATTCTGTGTCTGATGTGGACACAGCATAGGATGTGCAGGTCAGGCTAGGTCTGAAGTTTGCATATGGTGATAATGGGATGAAGTCAGGTGGATGCAGGGGATTAGGCTGACATACAGGAGGCTGGAGACTGGGGACATTGTGGTAGGGGCTCATCAGACTAGGCGTCAGACTAGGCATCAGATGTAGGATCTAGACTAGATCTAAGGATTTGGAAGGGTGCTGAAGAAGTAGGATCTGCCAGGGCACATTGGGTTGGTCTGGGCCTGGAGGTTGAGTGTGGCTCAGGTGGGGGTGAAGTCAGGTGCACAAAGGTTTTGGGTCCCCCCCCTTTTTAATTGTGATAAAATACACATAACAAAACTTACCATTTTAACCATATTTTATGTATGCAT